GTTGAATTCTGACCAGATCTTTGTTCTTTCAGGGAAATGCAGGGCTCTGGAACTGAGTAGCAGAAGTTAGATAACTGAAAGGACGTGTAGCAAATGCCATATTGCTACTTGTAGATAATGGTGCACCAAAGAATGAGGAAGAGGGAAAGAGAAAGGCTGGTAGCTAGTGGGGAACCCACAGTCAAGAAAAGTCATTTTGAAGATGGGAAAGAATTACACTTGCCATGGGGAGGAAGCAGGGTGGAGGAATAACTGATGGGGCAAGGTCCCAGCCTAGGCAGGAGAAAACCAAGGGCTGGGGTAGGTGGACCATCAGGCCTTCTGGTCTACACAAAGTGGACAGATGTAGATAAAGGTAAAAAAAAGTGTGTGTGGGGGGCTAGTGATCCCCCCTCTCCCCGGGCTAAAATGGGAAGAAAATGATCCTGAGAAGTATCTGAGAAGACTCAGGGTAGTGAACAAATGGTGTGGATGAAATGTCAGTGACTAGGTCCCCTCTGGAGAGGGGCTGAGTCCTGGAGAAAAGAGAGGTCTGAAGCTGGGAGGGCAGGTGTGGAGGACAGGAGGTAGGTTCTTGGGGTCCCATTTCTGAAATGGAGTGATTCCCAGTGATGACCAGGGTGAGTGCTTGGTGGTGGGGGTAGGGATTTGAGTGAAGACTTCTAGAGGCCAGGGCAGACGCTGGTGAGAGGGAGCTGGCCCAAGTCTTTGGGGAACCAGGGGATGAAGGACACCACATGGCACCAAGAAAGGGGAAGAGAGGGTCTGGTATGTGGGAGAGGAAATGGGTGTGAGTAGAACTAGGTCCAGGGCCTTTGTAACTGTGTCTGTGTCTTCTAGGAAGGGGTCTCTTTTCCCCAGCTTTGGGTAAATGCTATTGTCAAAGGTAAATCTCACTGTACCATATTTATAATTAAGGAGCCAAGGCACAGATAGCAGTAAAGTGGGAAGGGGAATACCACAAAAACCAAAAATTAGGTTTGGACTTGATGTAATAACAGTACTTGCAATTTTTTTTTTTTTGGTACCAGGACACTTAACCACTGAGCCACATCCCCGCCCTTTTATTTATTTTTTAAATATTTTAAATTGTAGATGGACACAATACCTTTATTTTATTTTTTAATTTTTTAAATGTGATGTTGGGGATCGAACCCAGTGCCTCATGCATGCTAGGCAAGCACTCTACCACTGAACCACAACCTCAGACCCCAACCCTTTTTGAGACAGGGTTTTACTTTGTTGCTTAGAGCCTTGCTAAGCTGCTGAGGATGGCCTTGAACTTGTGATCCTCCAGCTTTAGCCTCCCAGTTGCTAGGATTACAGGGGTACACCACTGTGTCTTGCATTTTTGTATGACTTTTACGTTACCTTACATGACCCTACAACCAGAACCACTTGTGATTTTTTTTTTTTTTTTGGTGGTATTAGGGATAGAGCCCAGAGGTGCTCTACCATGGAGCTACATCCTCCATCCTTTCCATTTATTTATTTATTTATGGTATCTGGGATTGAACTCAGGGGCACTCAACTACTGAGCCATATCCCAGCCCTACTTTGTATTTTATTTAGAGACAGGGTCTCACTAAGTTGCTTAGCGCCTAGCCATTGCCGAGAGCTGGTTCTGAACTCTCGATCCTACAGCTTTAGCCTCTCGAGCTGCTTGGATTACAGGCATTCACCACCATTCCCAGCTCATTTATTTATTAGATAGGGTGTCACTAAGTTGCTTAAGATGGCTTCAAGTTTGTGATCCTCCTGCTTCAGCCTCCAGAGTTGTTGGGATTACAGGCCATGCCAGGCCATTTGATTTTTGATGTTCTAGGAAGTTGCCCATTTGACACCAGATAACAGCTCTGATCTTTGGAGACCCCTTCTCACCAAGAGCTGGGAAAATGTCCACTGTCCACTGCCACACACACACACACACACTCAGCTCTGTCAGTCTCTGTTCTTCCCTCCTGCCTTTGGTGGCCAATGTTACTCCTCACACGGGAACAAAGCAACCTCTAGAACTTAAATTTACCTTCCCTTTAAAGCTTTAGTATCTATTGCTCACGCCTTCGCTAGGGTACTAGCTATGACAGTAAATCATTTTATTTTCAAAGACTGTCTTCTGCAATTGGTGTCAGTTCATAGCCACAGTAATAAGAATTAACAGAGTTAGTGTGCTATCAACCAGCTGCTGCAAGTTGGGCCAAAGGTGAGGAATCTGAGACTTGACTATTTTCAGCCTCTTCTACCATTCCCCCACATTCAAGCCTCTGGTGACTTAACCACTTTTTGGTGCTCTCTTTAGGCTCACAGTGTACGGGCGGCGGTTGTGCATTGCATAGGAGCCTTTCTTCTCCTTTTTTTTCTTTTGTGGTGCTGGGCAAGCACTCTACCAACTGAGCTATATCCCCAGCCTGGGAGCCTTTCTTTTAAGAGGGCACAATTCACACCACAGACATTGTAGATCTGTCGATTTATTATGACAAATTTCCAGAGGGTATCAGTGAAGAGCCTTGAGGAATGGATTAGGACATATGAGGTAGCTGAGTTCTGAATTTCTCATTCTTTTGAAATGGGGTCTCACTAGGTTACCCAGGCTGGTCTTGAACTCCTGGGCTCAGGCACTCCCCCTGCCTCTGCCTCTCAGTGTTGGGACTAGAGGAGAGTGCCACTGCACCCAGCCAGCCCTAGTTTTCTAAATGAATACACCTTTGAAGGTGTTGGTCCTCTAATTTGGGATGCACCACTCCCTCCAGCCTGTCTGATCAACTTGGTCTCTTACCCTTCCAAGTCCAGTAAAGACACCAACTCCTTGGTGAGGCCTTTTCAATTAGGTGTGATATGCTGTCCTGGCCCTAAAGCCCCTAGCACACACTTTTTCTCACTTCCAGAGGATGTTGCCTGTTCTTCCACCTGGCCGAACCATGCTATTCATTTTTCAGTCTTGCCACATGCCTAGCAAAACACTTAACATTTGCTCAATAAAAATTGCTGAAGAGGGGTTGAAGGAGTAGCTCAGAGCACCTGTCTAGCATGCATGAGGCCCTGGGTGCATTCTGTCTTTGAAAGCTTATCCTAGGATCAGGTTGACTCATTGGAGCCAAGTGCCTGGACAATGCTGTTTCTCGGGGATTGGATTCTTCTACCAGTGTTTGGTTTGTGCCTTTACTTGTATTATAAGACAGTATGTGAAACAGCCTTGGAACTTGTCTGCTCTGTTATGGCACAGATGTCAAGAAGGACCTTGTTTATTACATCTCAGATCTGCTTCCCTAGGTCCACAAATAAAAGTTCCAGGATCCCTATGCCAGCAACACTTTTACTTTTTTTGAGGAATGGTGTTTTTATTTTGCAAAGTCAGTCTATTCACATCTCTCTTTATTTGGTGCCTGGGAAGCTAAAAGACAAATTTGTGATCCACTTTCTATGATGTGCACTGCTGTGTACTCAGCTTCCCCATCTTCTCCAGAGTATTTATATTCTAAATAATAGTTCTGTTGTGGCGAGACATTTTGGGCAAGAGGTAGGTGGCAGCACCTGAGCTGGGTCCACAGCCATTATATACAATCAGATCTGGAAGTTAGGCGCTCTGACTTCAATAGGCAGAGGCTGAAAGAAAGCAAGTGGCAAGGAATTGAATGCTCCTGGGCCAGCCAGTTGGGTTCCCAGGGACAACCATGAAGCACTGTCACATCCTCTGACCTCAGGTCCAAAGGGAGCCTTGAAATCTCAGGGAAGGAAGGCTGAGGCAAGGAGAGCATTTAGGAATTAAACTGCTGGGTCAGTAGGCCAGGAAACCTTGGCAGGTCTCACTCATCTTTACATAATTCTAGTGCATCTGCAGCAGTCATCACATAGTGGGTGAGCAGTAAGCACCTGTTAACTGAGCTCCACCTGGGTTTGACACTTCCCAGTTCCTAACGCTTCACTTCATGAGGTTTGAAAGTATGGACCATGTGTCCTACTGAAGGCATGGCTGGTGTAACCAGGACAAAATAGTATCCATTGCCTACAGAGGGAAGCAGGGACCAACCAAGTTGTTTCCAGATCCCTCTTGGCTCTGAGAAAAATAGTCTCAGATAATCCTGGGTCAGAAGGGTATTTGGTGCCTGAAGGAAGGATGCCCAGCACAGTGTAGGTGAGAGGGTAGATGCTGGGAGTCTAGCCATAAGTAGTAGTAGTTGAGTCCTCCTAGGCCCTGCAGGACCTCACCCGCTGCTCCTCTCCCACTTGTCTGCAGCTCTGTCGAAGATGCACTGGACACCGGAACACGCCCAGCCCCTCAACCAGTGGCCAGAGCAGCATTTGGATGTCTCCTCCACCACCCCATCACCAGCCCACAAGTTGGAGTTGCCCCCGGGGGGTCGACAACGCTGCCACTATGCTTGGGCACACGACGACATTTCTGCCCTCACTGCTTCCAATCTCCTCAAGCGGTATGCAGAGAAGTACTCGGGGGTCCTGGACTCACCGTACGAGCGCCCTTCCCTGGGCGGCTACGGGGACACCGCCTTCCTCAATGGTGCCAAGGGAGAGCCGGAGCCCTGGCCCGGGCCAGACCCACCCTATCCCTTGGCCTCACTCCACGAAGGCCTCCCGGGAACCAAGGCCGGAGGTGGGGGCGGTTCCGGGGGCCTTGGGGGCTCCCCGGTTCTAGCAGGGAACCTGTCTGAACCCCTATATGCCGGCAACGCGTGCGGAGGCCCGTCGGCGGCGCCCGAGTACGCTGCGGGCTACGGCGGAGGTTACCTGGCGCCAGGCTACTGTGCTCAGACCGGAGCCGCTCTGCCCCCGCCGCCCCCGGCCGCACTCCTGCAGCCCCCGCCCCCGCCCGGGTACGGCCCCTCGGCGCCTCTGTACAACTACTCCGCGGGGGGCTACGCGGCGCAGCCGGGCTACGGCGCTCTCCCGCCACCCCCGGCCGCGCCCCCCGCCCCCTACTTGCCTTCGGGCCTGGCTGCCCCCACGCCCCTGCCCGCGCCCGCGCCGCCCCGGCCCACGCCCACCTCCTACGGCTTCCAGGCGGCCACTCCGAGCGCGGACGCCGGCGTGTCACTGAAGCGAAAGGCGGCCGACGAGGGCGCAGAGGGTCGGTACCGCAAGTACGTTTATGAGCCCACCAAGGCCCCAGCGGTTGACAACGCCTCCTATCCCGCCGCGGACAACGGCGAGTGTCGGGGCAACGGGTTCCGGACGAAGCCGCCGGGAGCCGCGGAGGAGGCGTCGGGCAAGTACGGTGGCGGTGTCCCTCTCAAGGTCCTGGGCTCCCCAGTCTACGGCCCGCAAGTTGAGCCCTTTGAAAAGTTTCCGGAGAGGGCCCCGGCGTCGGTTCCCCATGGGGGCTTCGCGGTGCCGCCCGTGGAGCCCTCCAAAGGTGTGGACCAGGGTACGCTGGAGCTGGTTACCAGCAAGATGGTGGACTGCGGACCCCCGGTGCAGTGGGCAGACGTGGCAGGCCAGGGCGCGCTCAAAGCGGCTTTGGAGGAGGAGCTGGTGTGGCCGCTACTGAGGCCGCCCGTCTATCCCAGCAGCCCGCGCCCGCCGCGGACAGTGCTGCTCTTCGGTCCGCGGGGTGCCGGCAAAGCGTTGCTAGGCCGCTGCCTTGCCACACAGCTAGGCGCCACGCTGCTGCGCGTGCGCGGTGCGAGTCTTGCAGCGCCGGGCGCCTCCGAGGGCGCGCGCCTCCTCCAGGCCGCCTTCGCGGCTGCGCGCTGCCGTCCTCCGGCTGTGCTCCTCATCAGTGAACTGGATGCGCTGCTCCCCGCCCGGGATGACGGTGCCGCGGGTGCGCTGCAGGCGCCGCTCCTGGCCTGCCTGGACAGTGGCTGCGGCGCGAGGGCAGATGGCGTGCTAGTTGTGGGCACTACTTCTCGGCCCGCGGCTCTGGACGAAGCGACCCGCCGGCGCTTCGCTCTCCGTTTCTACGTGGCGCTGCCAGACAGTCCGGCCCGCGGGCAGATCCTGCAGCGGGCGCTGGCCCAGCAGGGCTGCGCGCTGAACGATCGGGAGCTCGCGGCCCTAGTCCAGGGCACCCAGGGCTTCTCAGGGGGCGAGCTGGGGCAGCTGTGCCAGCAGGCAGCGGCTGGGGTGGGCCTCCCGGGGCTGCAGCGCCCCCTCTCCTACAAGGACTTGGAGGCGGCGCTGGCCAAGGTGGGCCCAAGGGCCTCCCCCAAGGAGCTGGACTCGTTCGTGGAGTGGGACAAAATGTATGGCTCCGGACACTGATGGCGCGCGGGGGAGGCCTGGAAGCCGTCGGCCCTCCTTCCCCGCCTCCTCAGCTTGGCGGGGAATGTCCTTGGCCAAACTCGACTGGGAGGGAGTCCGGGTGGTGAATGTGGGTGGGGGACAAGAGGGCTCTGCCGGTGGATTTGTTTTCCTTGCGAAGGAAAATGCTTCTGCCTGCAGATCGATGCCATATGCGCCGTGTACTCAGGTTTTTCCTATTTATTGTGGACGGGATCTCTCGCCGTTTCAGTTCGGTGGACCGGGCACACCCTGCGTGGGCTGGCACCTGGGCCCTAAGGAACTCCTGCTCTCTCGCCACAATCCTTTGGTCTCCTCAGAATGGCACCCTCCTCCTCCCCCACTCCCTCTTCCGTGCATTCGCTCAGTTTTTTTCTCCTGTCACTTTGTCACTGACCTCCCCATGCTGCCCCTGTACCTCTTCTGATTCTTCCTTCTGTTCCCACCTTTCTGTTTTTCACTCTCTGTGTCCCTTGCACTCCAGCGTCCCTGTGTCTCTTGGTTTCTGTGCTTTAACGCTCCTCCCTGCCTTTTATCCCTGTCATTCATACTGTAGTGACCATTTGCAGGAGATCTGGAGGCCCAGGTGGAGAGGAGGACGTAGTAGGGAGTCCCCCTGTATCCTCTTACCCCTTACCCCGCTGAAACCTTGGGTCTGGGGGGTGAGGGGCAAGTGAAAAAGAAAAAAAGCCACCCAAAGAAGGGTTTTTTACTTGGTTTGTTTTTGAGGGGAAGTCCCAGAAATGTAGCTTAATATTTTAGGCTTTTTATTTTTGTAAGATGTTGTAGAATTTGATGTTTTTCTTTTTATTTTGACAACTCAGGAAGAAACTGACCTCAGAAAGAATGTTAGACTTTGGCTGCTCTCCTGTGTGTCCCCCCACCCCAGGGGAGCAAACTTCTAGAAGAGTCAAATCTAGAGAGGCTTGTGGGAGGGCAGAGGAAGACCCAGTGCTCACTCACATCCCTGGCTGTTCCTGGGACAGAAGCAGAATGTATTTCTAAGGGCTTCCTCCCCAGGACCCAGCCAATAGGCACCGTGTGTGGGAAGGGGATGTGGGATTTGAAGTGGGTAGGTTTTCCTCCCTTCCTGTTGCTCTCCCCTCTTGGCCCCACCCCTTAGTTTCAAGTTTTCTGTGCAGGGTTTATCCAGAGTTGGGGTGCCCTTGCCCATTTTCTGCCCTAGGAGGAGAGCCCAGATGGGAAGATGACCCAGGCAGAAAGTCCCCAGAGAGGTCACTTGGCCCTTGCTTTGGCAAAAATCCTCTATGACTTGGGCAAAGAGGATTCCCTGGAGAGGGACGGCCTTTGGCCACAAATATGGTTAGGCATAAAATTGACTACTAGCCGCCTTTGCTGTGAGCTCTGAGGAGGGGCAAGCATCCCTCACCAGAGAAAGCTGTGTAAGGAAGTGTGCCTCCCTGCTCTCCTAGACTCCTATGCCTGACACTTCAGGGTCTGGAATGGAAGGGTGTTTTTCCCTGAGGATGGTTAGTTTTCATGCCCCCAGAAATTTGCCAGCAGGCTTGGAGCTCTTCTTTGAGAACCATATTCCTCTCCTTCTTGGATGGGGCTTTAGTAGTTTGCTCCCCTCCCAGTTTTCACAACTCTGATTTTGGTTCAAAGGGGGAACACCCCCCACCTCCTTCTCTCTCTCCCACCCCAGCCTCCCCTGCCTTTGCTGCTTGCCCTACAGCTCCTATAGTCTGTCACCCTATTCTCTTGGCAGGGAGTGTGTCTGTGTGGGACACTTCAGAGCTGGAGCATTGAGGGCCCGTGCTGCCTAGGAGTGCTAATAGGAGGGCTGCTGTGTGTTCCCCCTCTTCACCCTGGATCTTTCTGACCCTTTCTCCTTGAAGCCAGCCTATCGATTCGCAGAACATTGGTGCCTCAGAAGCTGTGGCTGCAAGGTTTTGCTCGGAAAGAACCTTAAAGGGAGAATGGAGTGAGGGGATTCGTTCTCAGGTTTGGGTGGGGTGGGGTGGGGAGTGGAGGGTGGCGGGAAGTGGGGTTGGGATCCCAGCCTTCCCTTCAAGGCAGGCAGCCCTGGAAGTGGGTAGGAGCTTGTTGACTAAGACCCAGGGCCCCCGTTGCTTCCTCTGCTGGGCCCTTTCTGACCTCCGGGCTTGGGGAGCATTGCACAAGAAGACAGCCCCCAGTCTACCGGCACCTACCTCATAGGCATAGGGCAGGAAGGGCAGGGAAGCTCCAGCCCTGGCAACATTGGGTGGGGGCATACCAAAGAATCCAAGGGCAGGGTGTGGGGGAGGGCAAACTGGCCCTCTGCTTCCTCTACCCAGATTGGGGTTGGAATCCTCTCCTCCAGCTGTAACCATTTCTACCTCATTTTGCTGCGTGTTGTACATGGACGTATTTATCTCCTGTCTGATGATGCTCTGCAGTTGTGGTCTGTCTACCTCAGAAGAGACTGTATTTTAAAAGAAAGAATTACACAGTATTAAAGTGATGACATATGGTTTCCAGAGGATTTCTTGGGGGTGATGGGATGTGGGGAGTCCTCTGAGAATGCTTGGGCCCTCAGGTCTGCCAGTATCCTTGCTGTGGCTCTGTGGATATTTCTGTGTCTTCAGCAAAAGTTATTTGGGGGACTTTGTCATTCATTCTGCATAGAGAATGCTCGCCAGGCATTCAGCCTCTCAAATGCTAGGCAAGCACTCTACCACTGAGTTACTCCTTCAGCCCCAATGCCAATCTTTATATTCTCACATTTGATACACCTATTTGGTGCATAGCAGACACTGTTGAAAAAAGAGTTTGTTGAATAAATTCTCTAATTTCCAGATCAGCGTCCTGATGAATGATGCACAGGTTATCTCAAGAATGCCCAGAAAAGATTCCAACCAGTGGTGGTGATAGAGTTTCAGGGATCTTCCTAGATAGGAAGGATGGCCCAGAAAAGCATGGAGGCTGGAAATGATATCATCAGCATCTTTTGTGTGGGACTATGCAGCAGTGTGATTTTTTTTTTTTTTTTTAAATCCAAGAGTATGAAGTAAGAAATAGGCTCGGGAGGGGTAGGTAAGTGAGATTGGAGAAGTCAGCTGGGACTTTACCAGTAGAATCTCCAAATTCTCTGTTAAGAACTGGGGCTTAAGCCCAATGCCGTGCCATATGCCTGTAATCCCAGCTACTTGGAAGGCCTGAGGCAGGCCAGCCTGGGCAATTTAGTGAGATTCTGTCTCAAATAATAAAAAGGACTGGGGAATGTGGCTTGGTGATAGAGTACCCCTGGGTTCATACCCATTATGGCAGGATGAGGGTGGGGAGAAAAGCTAGAGCTCCACAAAAAAAGTATGGTACATATGTGGTGGGGAGGTTGAAGTGGACAGAGGACTGTTTTGCAAGTTAAGATTTTATACATTGATTCAACAAATCTAAATCCCTCTTACCTGCTGGTTGCGATGGGGACAGTGGATACACTTCACAGTCTAGTGGCTGGATCCAGGGTGGTGTCATCAGCATCCTTTGTGTGGGTGGTCAGCATCAGCTAGTCCAGTGGGCGAAACAGTGGAAAGGCAGAGCTGCACGGTGCTGGGGCAAGGGCAAGCAGAGGGGTGCTTATGGAGTCTGGGCTAAGCAGTGTGTGTTTGCCAGTCAGGGAGCAGGCCAGGGATACTTTTTGGGCAGCCTAAAAGTACCAACCAAGAGCCAAAGGAAAGCCAGAGCCAAGCTTTCTTGGGGGGAAATAAAACAAGTTTAGGGAAATGAAGCCCCAGTGTGTGTGGAGGATGGGAGACCAGAGGAGGTGCTTATCTAATTAGGATGGAGGCAGAGCAGTTGTGCAAGAATGAGAAAGGACAAGGTCATCCCCAAGAGAATTTAGGACTTGACTGGGTATTGGGGATGATGGAGAGCAGGGGTGTCTAGGGCTTCTTGGTGGAGGGTGAGGGTGTGGTAAGTGAACTAGAAAAGGAATTGGCCAAATTTGAAGATTAGCGAGAATAAGGAGGTGGCCCTTCAATATAAGGGCCCAGAATCCTAGCCTTCTGGGGGCCCATCCCACCCAACCCGTGGCTATCGCAGATCCTTTCATTGCAGTTCCTGGGCTTAGTGAGTCTTCCTTCCCAACCAGTCCTAGTGTTGGAAGCCCTTCTCCTCATCCTGGTGGTTGGGGCCTCTAGCCCATAGTCCCTGAGTGTTCAAATCTATCCCCACTCCCTGTGGCTCGGAGACCCTTCCTGCACTTCCGTTCCTGAGGGTTCGAAGTCCCCGCCCTCCCACAATCCATGGGAGTGAGGACCCCAGCCTCCGCCGGCATTCGGAGCCCCTCCCAGCAAAGGCTGAGGTCCTGGACTTGGCCCTACGATGGGCGCTCTGGCTCTGGGGCTGGCGCTCTGGGGCTGGGTGCTGGGTCCGGCGGGGGCCCTGGACGCCTTGGGCCCTCACGCGGCCGTCCGTCTGGCCGAGCTGCTGACTCCGGAGGAGTGTGGCCATTTTCGGTCACTCTTGGAGGCGTCAGAGCCCGACGTGGAGGCCGAGCTGGCCCGGCTTTCCGAGAATCGTCTGGCGAAGCCCAAGCCGCGAACACTCCTGTCGGGGTCTCCAGACCAGCTGTGGCGGCGGCGGCGGCGGCGGCGGGAGGCGACTGAGGTCCCGACGAGCCAGGTGACCGAGCCCAGGAAAGTTTCCGACGATTGCCGGGAAGCCCTGGCGTCCTGGCTGGCTGCCAAAGCCTTGTCCCTGTCTTGGGACCGTGTGGCCCGGGCCCTGCGGCGTACTGGTCGCCCCGATGTGGCCCGGGAGCTCGGTAAGAACCTCCACCAGCAGGCGACGCTGCAGCTGCGCAAGTTCGGGCAGCACTACCTGCCGCCTCCGGGAGTCGCCGCCCACGTCCCCGCCGCGGCCCCGCGGCCCCGGCGCACCTTGGATCACGCGCCCAACTGGGACGAGCTAGAGCTGATCGTGGAGCGCCTGCCGCAGCCCCCGTACGAGCGGAGCCCCGCGGGCTGGGCCGGGCCGCTGGCGCTCGGCCTCCTTACAGGCTTCCTGGGAGCGTTGGGCTCCGGGGCTCTGCTTATCCTGCTCACGCTGTGGATCACTGGCCGCGATGGCGACCCGGCGCGGCCCAGAGGCCGTGACCCACCCACCATGCCCCGGCCGAGGCCAGCCGAGGCGCACCGCCGGTGGGAAACAGAGCCGCTTCTGACTAGGGAGCCGCTCGCGTCCCCAGCCCTCCGGGCTCGGGTTGCAGCTGAGCCAGATTGCCCCTCGCCTCCATACCCCCCGTGGTGAAACGGGAGCACCAGGCTTTAGGAGTGCTGCCTTGTACGTTTGATAAAAATGTTCCAAAATGCCCAGCGGAGGGAGCAGTTTGTTGTCGGTTGGAAATGCCCAGCCTAGCCCGTGGACTGCAGATGGAACACCAGGGGCGCTGGTGCCAGTCTCGCAGGGTGGGGGCGGACCTCTCACTTCTTAACAGCCTTAGTTCTGCCTTATCTTGCAGTTTTTCTCCCACTAAGAGCTACCACTTATTGAACACAGTCTGTGTGCAGGGCTGGTGCAAAGAAGTTCTGTACATTATTTGATTTTCTCCTCCAAACCCAAGAAGGAAGTTATTTCTATTAGACATCAGGAAACCCTGCTCACAGTTTCTTAGTGCCATAGTCAGGCTTTTGAACTCAGAACCACTGACCTGAAAATTTGAGTCCCAGAGGAATGGTATGTGCCGGATGAGGGAGCTTGAGACACACATGGGACCAGAACAATATGCACAGCTTCCCTGGGTTTGCTCTGAGGTGCTGCTGGATTGTGCAGGGGCAGTGCAGGGAGAGGGGCGCCCTCTTGCAGAGGCTGCTGCCTACCAGTTGCCCCACTCAGGCAAGGCTTCCTGAAGTTCCAGCTGGAGCCCAGGACCTTTCCCACCCACTTCTGAGTCCAGGGCTTAGGAGTGAGAGCCATGACAGAATGACAGGCCAATCCAAGAGGAGAATTGAAAACAAGATTGACGTAACCCTTTATTGCAAATTCTAAAGTAAAAAGATGTACAGTACAAAGTAAAATTGAAATTTCAGACTATAAACCAATCCACTTATACATTCTCATTTCTTAGCATTTCTGCCATTTCCGCATAAACAGAACAGGGAACAAGTCGAGGGGATGAGGGAAGGAGGTACAGCAAGGGGGAAAAATGTGGAGAATAACCAGAAACCCCAGAAGCAAGTGAAAGGAGAGACATTTCTCGACCTGCTGTTCTGGTGATGAGAAGCGGGGGTGGTTGGAGCAGTGCAGTTTAAAATGGCTCTCAGAATAGCAGCATTTATGGTACCATTTCATCTTCCTTAAGTCCAAATAATACTTTGCCCTTCCCTAGTGCCTTTGCCTCTGTATCTCAAAACGCTTTACAAAACATTTAGTTAAAGCCTCACAACACCCCTGTGAGGTAGGTCAGTATTATTATCCCCATTTTACAGATGGGGAAACTGAGGCACAGAGAGGTTAAGTGACTTGCCCAAGGCCACACAGCGAGCCAGTGGTCAAGCTAGGAATAGAACACAGGAGTTCTGTCCCTTTTCTGGAACCACTGGACCACACTCCCCTTTACTTATATACACTCTTCACACACACACACACACCACATGTGCACACCCGCCCACCCCACCCCACTTAGCCTCTATGTACAGCAAACAGCAGTGGGGGGCAGGGGCAGGGAGTGCCTCAGGAGCATTTTCATAAAGGAAATCTTGGTAACCTTGAAAAGGGAATCCAAGAAAGCATAGAGCCACAATGAAGACTCTGGTGCAAATCTTGGGCACCCCCCCCCCCAACCAGATTTCCTCTTCTCTCCTGATGTCCCCCTGGTTGACTAGTTGCAGCTGATTCTTTAGGGGGTACCTGAAAATGAATGAAGCTTTTTGCAAAAGTTTGGGCAACATCTGAGAAAAGAAAAGAGGCATCAGTACAAAAGATGCCCAGGACTCCATAACGCATGGCAATCTCACAGCCACAGCAGCCTGGAGGCTGGGGCCCCAGGGGCCGGGAATGGGAACTGACCTACCAGCCACATCTCCAGAGTGGAGCTACTGGAGCGAGCTAAAGTGGGCACTTCAAGATCCTCCTGAGTGTTCCTGGACCAGGAGACACAGCCTAGAGGGGGGTGTCTCTAAGGGGGGTGCCCCCTTGCACAAATATGGACAGAACTAGTCTGCTGGTCTACCTGTGGGGGGTGATGGAGGGCAGGGCCCAGCACGAGCTAGCAGAGCAGAGGCTGTTGGGCATTTTGTGCTTGCCCTAGCTTTGGAACATGGGGGGTATTTTTTTTTTTTTTTAAACACACTGATGAAAAAGGCAGAGGTGAGGCCAGTCCAGCTGGGTTGGCTTAAGTCATAGCTGAGGGCTCCGCCAGGTGGATTAGGTGAGAAGGGAGTTTTTAAGGGCCTCTAAGCACCAGCCTGGGGTGTGGGTACCACATGCAATGGTTCAGTGGGGATCTGGGAAGGTGAGGACCTGGCTTTTCTCTCCAATCTCAGTTTAGCCAGAAATGCGAGACCCTCTGGTGTCTCTCTCTGTCCCATTCCCCTTCTTTCCCCAAATGTGCTAAGGTCCCAGTTCCCAGACCCCTCCCGGACTTAAGAATTGGGACGGTCAAGCAACAAATGCACACCAAGACAGGCTTCCCTTGTACAGTAAAAAGGGTCATTTTTATTTTGTTTCCTTTTGGCTTATAGTAGTGATGTATTTTTTTTTAATCACGTCTCATTTAGGGCAGCGTTGGCCTCCATGCATTCACTAATACACTATTGGTCTTTTACAGTTTACATTGGTTGTGGCGAAAAAGAAAAGAACCCCCTGGGCACTGTGGCTCCAGGGGCTTTGACAGGCATTTCTGTTTCTCTGCCCCAGCAACTTCTGATGCCCAAAGCAGCTCACTGAGGAAGGAGCAAGAGAAGGTTGTGTTGACTTGGAAGTTTTTTCTTTTCTCACCCTCTGCTTTAAATTATGGACTCTCCTCATCCTAAGCAATAAGGAGGTTAAGGACAGAAGAGGGGGTTTGGAAAGTGTTTTTCACGCACAAACCAGCAACCATGGCAGCTGCTGCTCAGTGGCTTTGGCTCTGCATTTTAAATTAACAGCATCACACATCTTTTTGCTTTTTGTCCTTTTTTTAAAGGTGGATTGTGGAGTATAAATACTGCACCAAGGACCCGGCTACAAAAAATAAATATTTATATTATATTTATATATCTATATATATATATGTGCAGTGATACTGTGGCTGCTGCTGCTTTTTGATTGGCTTTGTTAATATTTGGCAAAGCGCTGCCACTCACTCACCCAGTGAGGGCGTGCAGAACGCCATCGCTGATTCTTTCAGTTCAATGCCTGTTAACTGCGGGTGTAAACTGCTGGTGATGGTGTCATTTACTACCAAAGAGGTGTGGAGCAGGACGGGTGAGTGAGAGAGTAAGTGAGTGGGTGTAGGGATAATGGGCGAGGGATAAGAGGTGGGAAAAGTTAGAAAAGAAAAGAAAACCACAAAACTTCAGATACAGCGGAGGTGGCTTCTTTCCTATGAAGCTGGCTGATGGGTGTCAGATACCAAGGCCCATGTGTTACTAAGGAGGTGGCCCGCTGGGCTGGGATCAGGAGTGGAGGGGAGGAAAAAGGTCAGATCTCAGAAAAATCTCATTAGTAGGCTCTAGTAGCTTAATGACATCACTAGCATGAGCGCTTGTTGTACCTAGTGGGACTGGATAGCTCTGTTGTCCATCTCAAGACCTAAGAACAATTAAGTTTAGCCAAATCTTGCATAGAAGTGGTTAGAATTTATTGCACATTGGAACAAAAATATATACTTTTTGTTGTTTTGGAAAAGACCAGTAGCAATAAAAAATTTTTTGTCTGTCTGTCTGGTTTGGGGATGTACATTGGCCGACAGCATCTAAATTCTAAGAAGAAAAAAAAGTATAAAAAATAAAAATAAACATGACAATGGCGTAAGCCAGAAGCCATTTCCTATTTAATAAGTTAATTTGTATTTACAAAAAGGCATGCCAATAAAATAAAATTATATATTACAGTATTTATAATTCTCTTAAAAATAACCACACATGTCAGCTTCTGTTTTGTGCTGTTTACAATGCAGCCTGTACATGGTACTCTACATTCATCCTAGCAGTCAGCAGGAACACTGAAAGAGATGCCTTCCCAACCTGGTATCAGGTGTAATACAAAACTCTATGGATGGCCGCAGAAGCAGGCTTAAGAGAGCTGGACAGTTTCTAATGGTCCAACAAGAAAGTTCTGCTTACTGACTTGCTGTGGTTTGTTCTATGCAAAACAAGTCAAGTGGACTGTGAAACTACATCCAAAGTACATCTACTGCAAGGCAGATTGGTATGTCTGATTATGGGTTGGGTTTTTTTCCCCCTCGATTGTATGATTCAGGAAGAGTTTATTTTGATTTGATTCCCATGCTAAAGTCTTTCCTCACTCTTCAAACAGACTTCCTGAAACATTCAACTGCAGCATGTCGGCTTTGAAACCTAGTCATCAGATGAGATACCCCTGGATTAGCACTGTCATCCATAGGGTAGGAGATGGAATGAAGATGACACTCCCCCAGAAGCCACCCTCCAATGACAATGGGCAGGTCTTTAAGCAGAGAGCAAAACTGGCTGAGAGGGAATGTGCTGGGGGAAGCTGGAACACCCTACAGAATTAATATTAAGTCACTTTCTCATGAAAACCAGTGCAGTAAAGAAACCAAGTGGGCTTGGTTCAGAGGCGGTTTCATCTACACCTCAGGTCCCAGCAGTGACTGTTGCTCTAGTAACAGTCAAAAGAAACCATAGCCATACCCCAGTGCTGCAGCCCTCACCCAGCCCTGTGAGGGTGGAAAGGGAAGTCCTGCTCAGTGGGGAAATGTGATGGAGGCAGGAGGACAGTTTCTAATGGTCCAATAAGAAAGTTGTGTGCAGGTGTGAGCTTGTGACAATCCCTCTGGACAGTTCAGAAGATCTGAACCCTTCTCCATATTGACCCAAGCCCAGAGAAAGCCACAATGCAGAAGGGCATGAAACTAGGTGAAGTGAGCACCCCATGACCCCCAACAAAATGTCATTTTAAGTTCTCCAAAATACCCCCTAGAGATAACGTGCTACCCTGAACAGCACTTTTATCTCTACCCCATTTAAGTGTCAGTTCTCCAGTATGAAGGCTAAACAATCATCATAAATATTGCAAAATACAAATGAACTTTTTTTTTAGCCCTAGGATTTGGTTTTACAGTGACATTAATAGTACAAGCCATTCGGGATCAAAGTCTCCCCATGTACTAGACACAGAGCAGCATTAAATAGTTCATCTTGCAAAATGTGCAACAATGGCTGTATGTTAGAGATGTTTGTTAAACAAATACACGCAACGGATCCATCTGCTTGTTGGACTGGGATTGTTTTTTGTTTTTGGTGGTGGTCAATTGATTGACTGTTTCCCTACCAGAAGGTGTATGAAACACTTATAGGAACTCATATAAAGAATTGCAGCCGGTATGGAACTCTTACCATTTTCTCCAAATACAGTGAACGGTGCAGGGCTGGGTCCTGTCCAAAGGCTGACCCAATGCAGGGGACAGGATTAGTAGTGTCCTGTGGTGTATGGATCTCATGCATGACTTCTGATCACGGCATGCCATCATGCAAATCATTTCTACGCATTGAACGAGCACAATGTTTGGAATTGGCCTGAGCAAGTCCTCCTCAGCCTGAAAAAACCTGATTGTTTTCCCCCACCCATCTCCAAACCACGTGAAGCCCATGTGGAGAAGATGCGGTTTATGTCAAAGAAACTGACAATTAAATGACATGGGCTAAATGTGAGTGTGTGTGTGTTTTCTTTTTGCTGCTTAGCTTAACTAATGTAAGAATGCAAATATAGTTTGCATGAACAAACAAATTTTTAGAGTGATGCTTTCTGCTTCTGAGAATCAACAAAATGAAAAAATAAAATCCATTTGGCTGCAACGGAAATATGCTGGTCCCGGCAGCCTCTCCTGTTTTTGTATCCTGTTAGTTTTGTCCTAAGTTGCATTGACTGAATGTGGAACATGCAGTAACCACCTGCCCAAGCAATAGAAAATCTGTGAGTTCAGGGAGCAGGGTCCTTTGCCCTTGGCAGGTCACTGCTCAAGATGCAACTGTGTCACATGGTAAGCAGACTACATTTGGTATAGTTCTTCAGGTTACAGTGTCTCCACAGCTGTTCTGCATTGATAATATTCAGGAAGTTTGTAAACAATCTTTCACTTGCAAGTTTTAAACTGATATAACATTTCATTTTTGCTCTCCTCTAACATTTGGATTCTCTGACCTCTTTTTGTCTTTTGGCTCTTTCCCTTCTTCCTTCCTCTGCCCGCTGCTGTTTCTCTTTGTCAGGTTTAGTTACACTGTCATAGGATGGGAGGGAGGCTGTGGAGGGGGTGCTCTCCTTTTTCTCCCGGTGCGTACCTCCATTCTCAAGCTTATTGGAAGTCATCTTTTTGCAGATGAAGCCCCGCCTTGCCAAATGTCCCCGGTAGGCGCGCTGAAGGACCACTGCAGACACCTCCTCCTGCTTGCGCCGCAGTGTGGTAGTGATTGGCTCGTAAGACACTTTGGAAGGATTGGATGCCACGAACCTCTCCTCCATCTGCTGCCGCAGGATGTCCAACTCCCCACTATCTCCCAGGACCCGCTTGGTGAAGGCAAAAAGGATGTCCAAACAGTGGATGCGATCCCCGCTCACCATTGGCAGATCCATGGCAATGAGCTCAATGGTGTTGGGCTTGGGCACTCGGAGAGGATGCTCCAAGGCATCTGCAAAGTCTGCCAGCTTACAGTACTCGATGAATTGGGTGGCATCGGGATCAAACTTCTCCCAGATCTCATAGAAGGTCTCAAAGTCATCCTCACTCAGAGGGTCTGCACTTTCTTCTGTGGCTACGCTGAAGTTCTCTAAGATTATAGCAATGTACATGTTCACAACAATGAGAAAGGAGATGATGATGTAGCTTACAAAGAAGAAGATGCCCACTGAGGGGTTCCCGCAGTCACCCTTAAAGCCACTCCCTGGATGTTCCTTGTCTAGGCTACAGTCAGGGGGGCGGTTTAGGATGGGCAGCAGCAGGCCATCCCAACCAGCTGAGGTTGTGATCTGAAACAGGCAGATCATGCTGTTGCCAAATGTCTCAAAGTTGAACATGTCATCAATACCAGCCTCGTGCTTCACATATGCAAAATTGGACATCCCAAAGATGGAGAAGATGAACATGACCAGGAAGAGCAGAAGGCCAATGTTGAACAGGGCAGGCAAGGACATCATTAAGGCAAAGAGCAGGGTACGAATCCCTTTGGCGCCTTTGATCAGACGCAAAATACGCCCAATACGGGCCAATCGGATGACTCGGAACAGGGTTGGGGAAACAAAGTATTTCTCAATGATATCAGCCAGGAACATTCCTAAGAGAGGAACAGAAGAAGTTATTTTTCTGGGATTAGAGATGTCCATTTTCTTCTTCTTTTTTTTTTTGGTACCCAGGGATTGAACTCCGGGGCACTTTACCCTTGAGCCCCATCCCCAGCCCTGCTTTTATATTTTATTTAGAGACAGGGTCTCACTGAGTTGTTTTGGGCCTCGCTAAGTCACTGAGGCTAGCTTTGAAACTCATAATCCTCCTCCTCAGCCTCCTGAGCCACTGGGATTATAGGCATGTGCCACTGCACCTAGAAAACCCTTTTCTTTTTTTTTTACCTAGCTGTGGAACTTTTAAGTTCAAAGTGCTTGTAGAATGAGTTCCTTATTACAGAATCTAAATTCTCAAAATAAGAAGACATTACATGTTTCAAACATCCAGAAAAGTAAGTTGGGCAGAGTGATGTAACAGTAATCCCAGCTACTCATAAGGCTAAGGCAGGAGGATTGCAAGTTGGAAGCCAGCCTATACATACTTAGTGAGGCCCTGTCTTAAAATAAAATAAAGGATGAGGGTGTAACTCAGTGGCAGAGTACTTGTCTAGCAAGCACCAGGCCCTGGGTTCAACTTCAGCTCTGCAAAACAATGACAACAACCAAAAACATAGAAAAGTAGAGAAAACTGATATAGACAACTATGTGCATGACAAACAGATTAGCATTTTACAAAATTTGCTCATTCTCTCTTCATTCTCAGAAGTATCCATAATATTTAAGTATCATTTTACTATATAGTTTTACTATGTATGCATAAACCCATAAATACTACACAGCATTCTACAATGTTTAAGAAATTATACTGAATCTTTTTAGAGCTCCAGCTTGTTTTTTTGTGTGTGTGTGTGTGGGGATTTAATCCCAGTCCTTTTCATTTTTTATTTTGAGACAGGGTCTTGCTGAGTTGCTGATGCTATCCTTGAACTTGTGATCTCCCTGCCTTAGCCTACCAAGTTGCTGGGATTACAGGTGTGTGCCATCACACAGCACTTGTTTTAATTTGTGAGATTGATCCCTTGTGTTAAAATAATTTTAGATTATTCACTTTAACAATTGAATGGTATTCACTTTTATAAGTAGGTCCTAATTTATCTGTTTTTCTATTCCAGGACAATGAGTTTTTTTACCACATATATGCACATAAAGTTTCCAAGGTGCTATAGATTGCTCTTCACAATGCCATCAAATATCCACTGCAGGCATGGTGGTGCATGTCTGCAATCTCAACCACTCCAGAGGCTAACACAGGAGGATTGCAAGTTCAAGGCCAGCCTCAGCGACTTAGCAAGACCTTAAAGCAACTTAGCGAGACCTGTCTCAAAAAATAAAAAGAGGGCTGGGGATGTGGCTCAATGGTAAAGGACTCCTGGGTTTAATCCCCAGTACCAAAAACGCCCCCACAAAAACCCATATCTACAAACAATGAATGTGAGGTCTCAGTTTCCTGCCATACCATGCTACCCTTTGACTTTGATGTCTTAGATATTCTGCTAATGCCACTGATTTTCAAAGTATCTTTATATTGGTTCTGAAAAAAAACAACAAAACATCTTTCTTTGCCCATCCCTCTATCTCCTACTGCATCAAAATAGCCTAAAAAACTAAAGTGATAGCTCAGGAATGGCTTTCAACTCAGCTTTGAGATTTTGAGCTGCAACCCATAAACCAGAAACCAATTTTGGCAGGTAAAAATGCCATCGCTTTAAGGAGGATACACAAGTAGAGGTAAAATGCACACGTCAGAGGGCCTTTTCTACTTACACTTACCCACAAGCCCACCTCAACCAGACCACTTTATCCTTAAAACTAAAGAACAACAGGGGAAGGCCAACGAGGGACCACGGAAAGAGATCAAAAGGCTTGGAAAGAGAACGGAAGGGAAACGTGGACTATTCTTGTCTTCCAGTGTCGCCTCTTGCCATCCAGGCCCAATGAAACAACATGAGTTTCCATGGACAGGGCACGTTTAATTTAATGAAGGAAGTATCTTTTAACCATAAGATTTCATAAATATTGGAGCAGTTAGCTGCAGAGGCTATAGAACCTCTTCTTTGAAGGTTTTAGGCTATGAAGGGTCAGAGAATAGGGTTTTTCTTCAGGAGCTTGGATTCCATAGTGTTTGCACTTTCCAGAAAATTTCTACCTCATCCAGGACCAAAGACAATTTCTCAGTTCTCTTCTTTTTACTTGTCAATTAAGTAAAAAACCAGTAATCATAAGAAGTTAGGCAGTGTAACATCTATTATTGTTGATACTGCATCCTGTACATGGTGGGCAAGCAAGGCTTTAGAGAGACAGCGATGCCTAAGTGTTTCTTTTTGGTACTGGGGATTGAACTCAGGGGCATTCGACCATGGAGCCACATCCCCAGTCCTATTTTCTATTTTATTTAGAAATAGGATCTTGCTGAGTTGCTTAGCATCTTGCCATTGCTGAGGCTGGCTTTGAATCTGCTATCTTCCTGCCTCAGCCTCCAGAGCTGCTGGGATTACAGGTGTGTGCCACTGCGCCCGGCTCTGAGTAAGGTTTTGAAGAATGAAAGGATGAACCTATATCTATCCCCACAGAAAGGAGACAGAAATGGGACAGTCAGCAATCCAGGCAGTGGGTACTTTAGGGGATACTTCAAGGGGTACTTCAGGTGGTTATAGAGCTAGTTTACACAATTCCTCTTTTTTTGGGGGGTGGCGCGTGGGAACTGGGGATTGAACTCAGGGGTACTCAACTATAGAGCCACATCCCCAGCCCTATTTTGTATTTTATTTACAGACAGGATCTCATTGAGTTGCTTAGTGCCTCACTTTTGCTGAGGCTGGTTTTGAACTTGTGATCCTCTTACCTCAGCTTCCCAAGCTGTAGGATTTCAGGGGTGCACCACTGTGCCAGGCTCAATTCCTCTTAAGAAAGAGTTTCTATAATTGTTTCTGAATACATTCATATGTAGAAAAAATCCCCATCATTAAAACATTACTACTCTCTCTCTTATTTTGGAGGGCCATCTGAGCACAGGTGGCATGAACTTCATCTGTGGATTTTCTATCCCACTCAATAGTGGGTGGGTAGAAAAGCGGACAACACCTACATTGTCCAGTGTGTTTTGTGGGAAGTTAGGCATGGACTTCCAGTGGGGGGCTGGGATTGATCCCCTACTTGATCCCTATCTGTTGCCCGTCTCGGGTCCTTGTCTAGACCTCAGTTCCTCATGCTACTTAGAGGCTTGTTTGAGGGCTATATGGTAGCACACTCGAAAGGCACATGGAATGCTGACCAGCTGACAGTACATTTCATTGAAACATGAGCGATTATTACTTGAATGACGGGTGCTATGGTCCAATGAAGGTGGATGGTGTGATAAGCAGAATTGTTTCCTGTAGGGACTTCCTAGAGAATTCAGTAGGCTAACATGTGTGGTGACCTTCCAAAAGGAAATTTCATGTATAGTGTTGCCTGAAGTAATTCCATTGTGGGATTCTTTGCTGAGAAACGTATGGGTTTAGTGTTGTATGTGTCAACACACTTTTGGACATGCTGCTCTGGAGGACAGATTTAGAGGAGGCACAGGCTAAGGAGGCCAGCTGCCTCCTGGTAAACCCTGGAGCTCTGGGGCTGGTTTCTGTGAATCTCCTGCATCCGGTCTCTGTTGGGACAGGTCAGTCATGCCTATCTGGAATCAAAGCAGAGTTTCACATGGTTCAGGATGCCTTTCAGGAAGGTGGGGAAATGTTTTGGGAGGGTAATCAACAAGGTAGCATATCTTTCAGCCCACCTACAGAGACATCATCCCTTCTATTCTTTTAGGTTGAAGCAAAACATAAACTTTGAGACCAGCCTGAGTTCTGCCTCTGGTCGCCTCCGTGGAGGGACCTGTACATCTATTTTGCAAAGATGACAAAACAGCCTGCCTCCTGGGCTATCATCAGATCCAATGAGACATGTGGCTAATTCTCAAGCTGTACCTGGCCCACAGAAAAATCTTAGCAGCAACAGCACTACCAAGACCCATCGCCACGAGAAAATTTTCCTAGACAATTTCATTAATACTTAACTACCTCTGGCCATTCCATTTCTCATTTCATACCTTTTTGGGGGGTGCTCAGGGTTGAACCCAAGGACTCAAACATGGTAGGAAGTATTCTACCACTGAGTTATAGTCTCAGTCCTTTTATTTGTATTTTTTACTTGGCAATCCTCCTGCCTCAGCCTCCCAATTTACTGGGATTACAGGTGTGTGCCACTGTGCCTGGCTCCCATAGATGTATTTTTAAAGACATTTAACCTTTCCTTGCTTAAATTTTTTGAAAGCAAGAACCAAATTGTATGTTTCTCTTCCCCAGAGTCACAGCATTTACAACATAGTAGGAACTCACTGACCACATAATCTGCTAGGCAGGCCCATGAGATATCTTAGGGGTATGGGCTTAAGCTAAGAGGACCACCTACCTGCCTGCACCTCAGACCCATGTAACTCATTGCTACCCCAAGAATCTCATCCTCAAAGCCAGTCAGGCCCTTTCCATTTCCCTTATTGCCCTGCCCCACTCACCCACAATGGACAGGATGACCACCACGAAGTCGAAGATGTTCCAGCCAATGGTGAAGTAGTAGTGCCTCAAGGCAAACATTTTGAGCACACACTCACAGGTGAAGAAGATGACGAAGACCAGATTAATCCAGTAGAGAATGTTCTCCATCTGCTTGCTCTGAGTATCTGTCTCCACCATCATTGTCACCATATTAAGGCAGATGAGCATCATGATAACAATGTCAAAGGCTTGTTGAGTGACAAAATCAAAGACGATACCTTGGATTTTGTTCTGGGGAAGAGGGGGAGATACAATAGGATTCATAAAGACTTCCCATGCAGACCTGGGGAAGCCACTGCCCTATTCAAGGAAGCAGTCTCTACCATCTTCTCTGTCATACTGACCAGCTCCCTCCTGCGGCTCTATGGGGAGCATGACAGAGACTGACGTCAAGATTGCCTCAGCTAGAGTTTGCTCAAGTTGCCATTCTTCCCTCTTGAACCTATGGTGTCAAACACTTTTGAGATCTTCTTACTTCCCTGGCTGCCCCTTAGTCTCATCTGTTGGCCATCTCTCAATCTCTTTTCTTTATTGACACATGTGTACTGGAGAGCCCATTTATTCCTACTGTTTACACCTATCTACTGCTTGAGCTTCTCAGTCTCTCTCCCTGATGACTCGTAAACGTCTTAAACTTACCAGGTCCAGAGCACAGCTGAGTCCTTTCCCTTTCCCTTCGCGTGGCTTGTTCTGCTTCTCTCAATTATTTATCTGTCTCTCAAGCCAGAAATCTAGAGTCCCCTGTTTTTGTCTTCTCTCTCATACCCCAATGCCCTGAGAGTCACTGACTCTCCCTTTAAAAGAACTCGGTTGGGCCTGCTTCATTGCCTTTCCAGTGGCTAAGGTTGGAGGACTAACCTTAGCCACATCATCACCTGTACTTCTCTAAAAGTCTCTTAGCTGGTCTTCCTGCTTCCTTTGTTGCCCTCATCCAAAGCAGTCTCCACACACTGGTGAGTGGGACTGTTTAAAAACATAAATGAATCACATCATTCTCCCACTTAAAACCTTTCAATAGCTTCTCACCCGTCTGCCACAAAGGTCCTATTGTTAACTTGGCGGAGAGATGCCTTCACAGTCAGATGTTACTTGTGGCCTGTTACTAGCATTTCCTGCTTCTAGAGCCTTGTTTGCTTTTCCAGGAATCACTATCCCCACCAGAGAACACCTTCCTTGACGAGGCTTTCTCTGACTACTCATGTAGAAATAGATCTGCCCCCACAACCCTCCATTTTTCTCTGTTATGGTTCTCCAGTTATTTCTTTCTTCAATGTTTGCCTGCATTTTATTATAGCTGCCTGCTTTTTTTTGGTTTTGTTTTGTTTTTTGGTACCCAGAGGTGATTTATTGCTGACTTATATCCCTAGCCTTTTTTTATTTAAGACAGAATCTCACTTAATTGCTGAGGCTGGCTTTGAACTTGTGATCCTCCTGCCTTAGCCACCACCCAAGCTGCTGGGATTTCAGGTGTGTGCCACCATGCCCAGCATACCTACTAACTTTTATAGTTTAATGTGGAAGAAAATATACTTAGGTTCCCAAATGTAAACTTGAGAAATGTTAATCCTTTAATATTCCCTTTAGTTCCATTTCTATCACTAACCGGAAAGTCTTAACATCATGGAAATAAAAAAAAAATTGTCTTTTTAAAGATTCCCCTGATATTTTATATTTAAAAGCACCAAGGCACTTGGGCTACCACTTATTTTCAGGATTACTTTAACTTGGTGGTTTCCAAAATGCTCTGCAAACCCCTGGGCTTCTTTTCCCTCAGTGGCTATGCAGGAGTATGCCAGAAACAACTGTGGGGTCAGGGAAAAGCAGGCTGGAAAGCCAACTGCTGGTTTAAACAAAGGAGCTCTACTTTTATTTGTCAAATTAGACTTCCACCTAAGCTTTGACTTCAAGTGTTCTGCTGCCTTTTTTTTTTTTTTTTGAGAGAGAGAGAGAGAGAGAGAGAGAGAGAATTTTTTAATATTTAGTTTTTAGTTTTTGGGGGACACAACATCTCTGTTTGTATGTGGTGCTGACGATCGACCCCGGGCCGCAAGCATGCCAAGCGAGGGCGCTACTGCTTGAGCCACATCCCCAGCCCTTTTTTAAAAAAATTACTTTAAATGAAAGTTATAGATGAAGAAGAAGAAACCTCAAGGCTTTTGGAGATTATGACCCACTCAGCTTGTTTCTCTGAAACAAGAGAATAACAACCCATGAAGGGTGAGGCTGAATCTCAGCCCCAATTCTGTTAGAGAGAGGAAATCCAGGTCACAGGACTCTCCTACTTTCACTCTTTCTGCTCTGACAGCCAGAAGCATTGTTTTAGCTCCCAGACATCCTGCCCACATGTCTATTGGGCACAGAGGCTGAGAAAACAATGACCAAATCTTGAAGTCTTGAAGTGGTAGGAAAGGAATCAGCTTTTGTTCATTTTTGGTTGTCTATTAAAAGATCTCTAGGCTGGGGTTGTGGCTCAGCAGTAGAGTGCTCACCTAGCACATGCGAGGCCCTGGGTTCGATCCTCAGCACCACATAAAAATAAATAAATAAAGATATTAAAAAAAAAAAAAAAAAAAAAAAAAAAGATCTCATTACCTGGGCCAGAGTCAATGTGGTAAGCATGCCGGTTCTCTGCTGCTTCCCAAGGAGGGAAGAGGAGGGGCTGAGAGGAGAAGTCAAGCATGATATAGAAGTCATGCCACACTGTAATCCCTGTTCTGCTGCCACCTTACTCTGATCTTTTGGATGGGGCAGCTTGGAGAAGATCAGTAGATACCAGGCAATCACTTTTGCCTTCCTTTGCAGTAACCCTAGCAGTGTCTTCCCAGATAGGTTCTCACTATGTTCTTGGTCTGCACAATGTACTCACCAAGGGGCGGGGAATGGGTTTCTGTGGTTTCTTTGAGCCCAGCTTTTTCATGGCATTGTAGTACTTTTTCTGTTCCTCAGTCATGAAGATATCCTGACCTCCAAAGTAAAGGAGGGAAAAAGAGAAAAGCAATTACAACTGGTGCTCACAGGCCTGGTTCTGGACCAGGTTCTGGATCAACACTGAGAACTGACGGAGACATATCCCTTTCCTTTCCAGAGGTCAGGTTAGTGGCTGCCTGTCCCAGAGTGAGATAGATCTAGAATGATTATTCTAATTCAAAGAGATAGCTACCTTTGTTTTCAGCTCAGGATTTCTGAGATTTGCCATGCTAGGTAGGAAGGAAATGGACTATCTGGCTACAGACCCTCAGGGAAGGGTAAACCTCAGAGCAAAGGTGTACATCTCACATCTCACAGTCTCATAATAACATATTTTTGGCCTGATTTCCTGATAAGCTTCTAGGAAAAAAATTCTATTTTTATTTTTTGGTATGTGAGGATTGAGCCCAGGGGTACTTTACCGCTGAGCCACATTCCCAGCCTTTTTAAATTTTGAGACAGGGTTTTGTTAAGTTGCTTAGGGCTTTTTAAGTTGCTGACTCATGGCCCACTTATTTTAGATGACATTCAAAATTTGTAAACTCTAGTGCAAGAAGGCAGTTTAGAGAGAGTTTTCTGAAGTTTGTTGTGCAGAATTGACTTACAAAATGAATAACAAGGGTAATCTTTTCAATTTTTTTTTTTGGGGGGGTACTGGGGATTAAACTCGCTGAGCCACATTCCCAGCCCTTTTTAATATTTTATTTATAGACAGGGTCTTGCTGAGTTGCTAAGTGCCTCGCTAAGTTGCCACAACTAGCTTTGAACTCTTTGAACTCGGTGATCCTCCTGCCCTAGCCTCCCGAGCCACTAGGATTACAGACATATGCCACCGCACCCAGCTTCAGTTTGTTTTGAAAAAAACTGTTAATCATCTGAGATAAGTAAGGAAGTGAACTTTCCAGGGTGGCCTTTCAGATCCCAATTACCAGAGATTTACATGGATGATGACAAGTCCGGGCAATTTCTGCTTCACTGCACTACTCATCCGCTTCTTTCTGGAGCGGAGGCTCTCTCTGCCCCTAACTCCCTCTGGTGGAGTCAAGACCAGTATAGTAGGCCTTGTGAGTACAAGACTGCTAGTAAATTCAGTAAATCACATGTTGCAAAATCCAGCCCTGAAGAGGAAGAGTTGGTTGGGGTTAATGTACAGTGGAGCCAGTGTCACAGTGAGGTGACAATTTGGATTTTAGAGAAAATAAAGAGGGGTCTTTTCTCTGTAGTGACAGGGACAGAGGGCCTCTCATCTGAGTTGACCACTGGCAGTGAGGGGAGGAGACCTATCTTTTTCTTTTGTTGATTGAAGTTATCAATGATGACACCAATGAACAGATTCAGGGTGAAGAAGGAGCCGAAGATGATGAAGATGACAAAGTAGATGTACATGTAGATGTTGTCCTCATACTTAGGCTGTTCATCAGGCTGTCAAAGGACAGGAGAAAAGGAGAGAGTCAGCTTTCAGCTTGGTGATCAGGTGGGTGACTCCGACATGCCAAAGCCATCAGCTGTGACTTCCTGTCTGGGCTACTGAACAAACTGGGGATGGGAGAGACCTAGCTTCTTTCAGCCTGCCTCCTTCTCCATACTGGCAGCTCGGAGGACCCTGATAGCATCACTGCTGTGACTTATTGGGAGAATATGCAAATCGCGAGGTGAGGGGCAGGGGAGGGGTGCCTGTTAGGAGCCACACTTTTATTTCAAGACAGGACTGAAGAGTAGACAGCTCTGTTGGGGCCGAGTAAAAATCAACTGTCTAATCATTTGTAGCCAATGTGAGAGAGCGAGGACTTACTGAGAGGAAGAAAATGATCTACAATCAATAAAACAAGCAATTAACATTCCAAACAGAAATTTTGGTGCCTCCATTCTTCCCGTCCTTTCTCTTTGATGATTCCACCATGCTGCCTGCTTTCTAACCAATGAGGAAGGTTCTGTTCCACCAGGTACATTCTTACCTTTCGGGAATCTACAGCTGCATACATGATGTCCATCCAGCCTTTGAAGGTTGCCTGGCAAACAGAGTCAGTCATTAGATTGTGCCTGTGAGGGAGTGGGAGGAGTCTAGGTAGGAGTCCCAAAGGCCAACAGTAAGGACACAGGACAAGGAGTTTGGGTAAGTCTCATATGGACATAGAGTTTCCTTTTGTTCGTACAGGGCCCAAAGGGGCTTTGAGTAAGTCCCTGAAAATAACATCAGAGTTTGGCAAAAAAACATGTTGACGATGGTAAGTGATTGATGACTTTCACACAAGGTCTTAAGATGTGTTTGAAAAGACTACCTAAAGCCAGGGCAAATGCAGATTTATAAACAAGTGGCAAGAATCTACTCAAGGTGCTTATTAGACTTTAGCCTTCCACTGAGGAGCTGTTTTTTCAAAAAGTGTTTATAAAGCAATGGGGGGGGGGGTCTGAAAAATTCAGTTTCACTAAAAAAAAAAAAAAAAAGACAACAAGGTCAGAACTTATCTCTTACTAATAAACACAAGTAGCCTGCAGTATGGCAATCCTGGTGGCATCCTTGATGCCAATTCCAATTAATACCCCTTTCCAATTCTCTTTGTCTCCTATATCTAGCATGACTTTTGGAAACAAAGATGGATAATCAATTTAATATCTTCATGTTTAATTTGTTCAGCCAGATTCTAAGCTTTTTCAGGGCACAGGACAGTGTCTTTATTCACCTGATGGTCCTATTGCCAAGCACAGTGTCTTGCTTATGGTGGGGACTCTGAATACTGTGTCTGACTAATATTTTCTGGAGCTGCTCCAGTTCAGATTCAATTTGTGGGTTCCATTTCTTGAACTGGGGTAGAACAGCAAAAGAGTTTTGTGGTAGGATATGATACAGCTCATTCCCCTAACTTTTGCCTCCTCTTCCTAACAGTGAGTGCTTACTGTGTTAGGTTAGGGTGAAAGCTTCATTTGCAATTTCACATTTAATATTCACAACAAGTGAATGATGTGGGTATTACAATCATAGTAATGAAAACACATAATAGCCATTATCATAATTAAGCTCTGCTATGTGCTGAACATTGTGCTAAGATATTTTTCAAGTATCATGAATTCTCTCTCTCTTTTTTTTTGGTACCAGTGATTGACCCCAGGACGATTTTACCACTGAGCCACATCCCTAGTCTTTTCATTTTTTATTCAGAGACAGGGACTTGCTAAGTTGCTTAGGGCCTTGCTAAGTTGCTGAGGCAGGTCTTGAACTTGTGATCCTCCTGCCTCAGCCTCCAGAGTTGCTGGGATTACAGGTGTGCACCACTGTGCCTGGCTCATGAATTCACTTAACCATGTAGAGTATTATAATCTACATTTAATTGATGAAGAAACTGAGGAATAATTTGTACCAAATTGAATACCCAATAAACATCAGATCGTGGCTCAAAATTACATCTGTCTGATTCCAAAGATTATGAGCTTTTCAATGCATCAACTGTCTTGTCAAATATTCCAAAAAATTGGCGAGAGAAGAGAAAACTAGGCATGATGGAATGAAGTTAGGCAAGAGAGACTTATCTACATCATTAAAACACATTTCTCCATATTATCCACATTAGCCCTTTCTCTGGGGTTGAGCTGTCAGAGCGGCAGAATCGCAGCACAGCCGCCTTTAGCATAGCTATTATGTAGGATTCTTCTTCTTCATCAAAATTGCCCTTTTTATTTGTTTTCTTGACTTTAACTACAATTCAGAGCTGGGGAGAGGTGATCTACCACTTTATTATGTTGCAGCAAGTTTTAGTTGTTGCTGAGTAGGTCTAGTTCTGAGCACAAAGAGAGAGGTTCCTTTTGAATGAGATCTTGTAGAAGTCAGAATATACAGGAAAGACGTCTCCCTGAAACTGGTCTGGGAAATGATATTGCTCCCTGTTTCAGAGTAATTCCAATTCTGAAAGTAGGGTTGAGAAGGAACCAAATGAAATTTCTGCTAGTTGCGTGAATTTCCCAAGACTGAACAAATAATAATACTTACTACTTGAAGAAGGGCCAGATATCCTGCCCCCACGTTGTCAAAATTGATCTTCACGTTCTTCCACCTGATCTCTGTGTTGTTCCCCTCCATGAGCTTTTCACATTCAGTTTTATTGTTGACATCTTCGATTTCAAATCGGATTTCAGAAGTCTCATTAAAGCAGTAGTGGTATTTCCCCGCAAACAGGTTAACTCCCATGATGCTGAAAATCAGCCAGAAGATGAGACACACCAGCAGCACATTCATGATGGAGGGGATGGCGCCCACCAAGGCATTCACCACCACCTGCATTGGAAGGGGAGGTTGCTGAGTGTTGGCAGGAAGTGAGGGAAGCACATTCTTTTGATTTCCAGGAGGGGAATGACATTTGTGTGGCTTTTCTGCTATGGAAATGTGTTTTCTTTGCGCTTAACTGTTTTCTTTGCAGTAACTGGACAGATCCACAAATAGGACCAAAAATTTCTAAGTTTGTGAACAACATTTTGGGGAATTTTAATAAATTGCATGTTGATTTCAACTAAAACAAACTCCCCTGCCCAAGTTGACCCTGATCATCTCTTCTAGGCACCAACCTGGGACAAAAAAAAAAAAAAAAAAAAAAAAAAAAAGAAAAAAAAAAAAAGAGAAAAAAAAAAAAAAAAAGAAAAAAGATCTTAGTCCAGTCTCCCTCCTCTTCAACTTGTAAAATAAACCCCCATGGAAAAAATCTGAGCAATTGCAAGCTTGCTAGTTGCCTTTCAACACATTCCCCCTCTGAAAAACAAGGCATGATTGTTCAAAACCACAGAGAGCTGCCCTTTGGGTTAGCAGTGAATCACTCAACAGTACATAACGTCTCTTTTATGACTATGCAAGGCCAGTTATCTTTCAGGCAATAGCTGAGCATGCATATTTTGCAGGCTCAAGAAAAAAAAAAGCTATATTCCCTCTACCAAACAGTATAAAATAAAATCTGAACAAAAGTGCTTTCTACTCAAGGTTTATTCTTCAGCCTTTTTTTTTTTTTCCTGACTTTGTAGGCTTCTAAATCTACGAGCTGCCCAGTGTGGCTAGTGTTGATATCTGTCTGTTTAGTCCAGGGCTTGACTGTTCTTCACAATGTATTAGAGATCAACATGACTTTTTTTTTTTTTTTTTAATAGTTTTGGGTTAGATTACTGCTCTTGAAACTAAAAAAAATGACATGTTGTTAAAAAAATCACTGACTACAGTCTCAAGAATTTTTTTTTTTTTTAAAGGGCAAAGGAAAAAAAAAAACCCTTAGGAATAGATGTTTCTTGGGTTGTTTTAAACATGGACTTTGCTTTATACTAGAGGTGACAGTAGTCAGACAACAACTCTACCGTTGCAGCAGTTTTCACTAGTAGAGTTCGAGTGCTTACAAAGGTAACATTTCTAGTGATGGAACAGGAAACAAGGCTAGTTTCATCTCTGCCAACTTTCACTAGTGATGTCTTAAGCAGGGTTGCTAAGGCTCAGAAGAATGTTTCTTCCTTTTTCTAGTACTGAAGAGGATTATGGAGTAGAAAACAAAGACATTGGATATAAATGAATTGTGTTTTCTCTGATGTTTTGTTTGAAGGAGGTGACACGTGTTACCAAGTTCCTGCATCTGTTTTTTTGGTACAGGTAAGAGATGACAGGCTGCCAACTAGCTACAGCATGGGAGAGACAGGGAGGTCATGCTGTATGAGGAACGCCAGGGGGCAGCCCTGGGCTCTAACTTGAATCCTACTGGGTTTAGGTTTTGTCTTTTGTTTTTGTCTTAGACTGCACTGTCATTCATCAGAAAACATGGCTGAGAAGAGCTACCTGTTCTGTCCTATATCAAAAGGCAACAATATTCTGCTAGGGACTCACTCTGTCTTTGATATTAAAATACTCATCTTGTGATTCTCCAATTCACATATGAAGGCCTTTAGAATGAGAGGCAGTTATTTCTTAATTTTTAGACCAAGAAATCTCTTCAAGATCTTATAACTCTGGCATTAGTATAAAATATTTATTACTGTGAGCAAGGAAAGCTAGAATATCTGAAATCCAGAAAATCTTTAATGTTATTTTGGAGAATGCTATTTACTTTTATGAATTTATGGTATCAAATCTGTCGGATAATCAGATTTAAATTTTACCTTCTCATTCTACAGTTGTTCACCCTTTGGTTAGGGCACCAAAAAGCAATGGAATGTGCAAAAGAACAAGCAAAAGGCAAATGATCCACAAATGGAATAATCATTTCTCAAACAATAAGAGTAGATCATGTAAAGATTCAAAAGCTCAAGTCTATGTGACAGCATTTTGCAGCAGTTTAGGTGAGAGATCATGATGTTGTATTAGACCACTACCAGCGTAAAGTAGGGAAGTAAACCCTAAAAATGGAAGCCTGAAAATATTGTTTTTTTTCCCCTCAATTCAGAACCTTCAGGAATTCTCAATGTACAGACAATCTGTTTTTGTTTGTTTGTTTGTTTTTGGTACAAGGGACTGAACCCAGGGGTGCTTAACCACTAAACCACAATCCCAGCCCTTTTTAAAAATATTTAAGACAGGGTCTTGCTAAGCTGCTTTGAACTTGCAATCCTTCTGCCTTAGCCTCCGAGATGATAAGATTACAGGCATGCACCATGGTGCCTGGCTATACAGAGAATCTTAAACTTCTATTTGAACCCAGTCTAACCCATCCTACATGGTGTCTTAAATCTTACTGTTAAATATGGATAATATTTTCAGCAGGGAAGAATAATCAACTAAGTGATCTCTGAACTTTAACATCATAGATCTGATCAAAGGACTCAAAACACAAAAATATTTGCTGATGACATAAAAATCCTGTAAATCTGATACTTTTTTTGTGTATGTGTGCACATACATTCACTCATGGTACTGGGGACTGAACTGAGGGACACTCTACCACTGAACTACATCTCTAGTTCTTTTTATTTTTTTTTGAGACAGAATCTTACTAAGTTGCTTAGGCTGGCAACTTGTGATCCTCCTGCCTAAGCCTCCTGAGCTGCTGGGATTACGGCGTGCAATACTGCACCCAGTTAATCCAATGTATTTGTAATATGCAAATATATATTTATTAATCACAACCAAAGAAAATCTCCTCATTTTAGATTTATAAACAAAACAGTAAAGAATTGGTGGAATTAATAATTCTTCCCTGCTGTGAACATTAGCTGATAAGCTACAAAATATTACACAGAAATTGTTTAACTGTGCCCTATATAGAAATGTCATTATGCCATTATTCTCAGTAACTAAAGAGAAGAAACCAGGCTTATTATTTTAAACTTTTACACTAAAGATATATTATAAAAGACAATTCAAATTTTCACTGATACTCACTTAATAATTGGATTTCTTTTGATCTTGCTACTCTCTAGTTATTTGACATTGCCCTTCATGATAATGAAACCAATTATTGTTAAAAACTAGATACAGTATAGAAATATTACTCAAAGTTAGGTTCTAGCAATCTATAAAGTTTTTTCCAATGGAAATTTGTACTTAGTGTTGGACATAAATCTTACCTAAGATTTCTTGACATGTTGTTAAAAAATCACTGACTATAGTCTCAAGAATTAAAAAAAAAAAGGGGGAGAAAATTCCAATGGATACTAATTCTTACAGTATTTTTATCTCCTCTATAATGCCTAGGACATTTTTGTTCATTAAACACTATAAAATCTATCAAATAGCTTTTAATATCTGGCAGAGGGAACATGGCTTTAATGGACAACTATGTACTGACAATCAACAAAAAATGCATGCATGTTTCATAGCATTACTATTGTATACTTTCAAAAATTTAATAGCACAGCAATATTTTTAAATAAAGGTTACTATGGAGGAGAGGAAAGCAAAGAACTACATTAAGTATTCCTTTGCCAACAGCAGGAGTGTTTCAATTTTTCTGATCTTTGGTTTGAGGAAGGAGAGAGGAGACTGAACGAGTATCCCAGGACAGGCTGGGGTCATATGCTCCCTCTCAAGTGAAGGTCTGAGTCTATAATTGGAGCAGCACAGTGACAGTTGAGCCCATCTGCACGGATGGTATTCAGTTCATGAAGGTTTCTTACTTAAGGTTTTCTAATGGTAATCTTGCAAGTGTTGGCATACAGAAGAACCCAAGCTAAAGAATGAAAAACACATTCCCCTGTAGAAAAACAAAATTTATGTGAAACATATATACTTAGTTCTATTTATCACTGGGAAACTTAAGCAGGGACAAATGCAATCTCTTCTGTGGTTACTCTTCCACAGAAGGGCTGGGAAACTGCAGGGCAGGAATAGATCCTGACCTCTCTCTACCTGCCCAACCAGCCCTGGTCAGTAATGTTGACTGACTGGCAACAAACCAATAAGGTGGCACCTCTACACCAAAGTTTCCCTCACTGAATGTTACTGTTTTAAATTGCAGCTTTGGGTTCAAACTTGTTTTTGCCCATATTATCTTATTTGAAAAAAGCTTGAGGTAGACGATTTTCATTAAAAGTTTCTACTGTTTTGATTATCCATTCTGAATGATCTGGATCCATTTCTAAGCTATTTGAAAGTTGATAAGTTTCCCAGGGAATGGAAACTGAGAGTTCAGGGAAGGTGGGGAAAAGAGGAACTAAAGGGAAAAGGTGAGGCTACTAAAAGGGCTCCTGCATCAGATTATTTAACTCATTTCCTCATAAGCAAACTGGCGCTCAGTGGGGACTACTTTCTGCCACAGGGACAGCAGTGAGCAACCAGATGGAGAAAGTTAATAACAAGTGTTGGTTGGGCTGGGGCAAGGAGTAGAGGCTTTAGGTATTACCAATCCCTTTTAGGAGATCCAGGATCACTGCTGAGACTGTGGGGGCATTACAGGCTACTGAGCTCAGGTACAATGTTGAATAAGCATTATCTCTAAAGGCATTTATTTAGTTGCATCTTGTCCACAATTTTTCAATCACTAAAGTGAATTATTAACTCTATAACAACACTATTATAATTTATTTAAAAATTTATTACTTATGAAAAACATGGGAAAGCCAGGAAGTAGGGATGAGCATTTTAATTCTATTTTCAACCACGACCATTAAAATCACTGAGTCTTGTCTCTCTCCCTACATTTAGTCTGATCCTAATAATGTCCTCATTGTACACATTCTGAAGCCTCTCTTCTCTGTGGGACACTTAGCATCCCCAACTTTTTCTTTAATAATAAAAATAAATTTATGCTGCTGTTGGAACTGCCCTTCCTGCAGATGGTTTTTAGGACTACAGAAAAAGCTCACGTTTAGTAAACCAAACTGTGACTGTGCTACAGAAGAAACACGAGTTTATTGCAAAATGCATTTGTCTGAATACACTAAAATAGTAAGATAAAATTCCCACGTCCCAGTGAAATTTTCACCTTCCTGTGCAACTGTGAGTGGCTTCATGGAATAGCGGCCAGAAATCACAGACGAGGAATAAATGGTATCTAGTTTCTCCAATCAGTCTTGCTTCATGTGAACTATTGCAACAGTTCAGTTTTATTCCTATATTCTGATATTTGCACATTTAAGAACTGATCCTCTGGTTTGCTCTCCTGCATGTATTCAACTTCTGAATTGAAATGAGTTTTCTTGGTCTCGTTAAGTATAACAGACCTCTCTCATTACAACTATGATCACCAAAACCAGCTGTCCACTTGATTTTAGGAAATTGACTTTTTAGTGTGAGTGTGTGCATACATGTGCACACACGCACAATTATCAAAACCATAAAAGAAAAAGGCACCAGAAGAGGAGCCTTATTCTGAGTTGGCAAGGTGACAGCCCCTGTACTGTATATATTCGGGTGGAGTATCGCCAAAGTTGGAATAGGAGGACTTGAGAAATTTCAGAACTAATTGGTATTCAGTCCTCTAGCATCATCCCTGTTTGTTGTTTTGACAGTATTAGGATAGTGGACCATATAGCATGGGCAGAGGGGTGGGGGTGAGGAGGAAAGCTTTGCTATCAGACAGTGGCTGCCAGTCCTTATGGGACTGGGCTGAGAACAACAAGGTGCAATAAGAGGAATCAGAATAGAAAGAAAAGCATTTCTTCTCCCAGGGCCATGCCAAATTCTGCTCAATCCCCAATTCCAAGCCTGTCATGTGTCTTCAAACCCCCTCTCTGCTGTTTTCTCAGTGACTCCAAGGCCACAGTCCCCACCTGGCTAGTGTCCCTACACAGCACTCTTCCTGCCTGCAGCCTATGCTTTTCAGTGGGTCTGTGGGTTATAATTCCCCTTCTTTGCACCTGGTGATTCTCCCTATTAAATCAACAGCCCAGAAAGCCGCCCCAAGTGCTACAGGTAAGCCAGGCCAAATGAGAATAGCCAATGTTAACATGTTCTGCGATGGCATGTTGTTGGGAGTGGGGCCAATATTAATGTGATGAGGCAGCTTAATGCAACTCCCCTGTGCACGGGGCTGGTGCGGGGGAGATAGAGTGGAGGATCAAATCGGCAGCTGCATCACAGAATCCGTGTTTGAATGATCTTTCCACCATGTGATCAGTTCTAGCATGCTTAAACAGTTTCCATTGGCATGCAGAAGGATCAGCTGCTCTTAGTATCTTACCCTCATCCCTTCAAATCGTGATAAGGCTCTTAAGGGTCTCAAAGCTCTTAGGGTCCTAAGGGACTTTATGGCACCTAGTTCCGAGTAGCCCAGGGCATTAGCTATAAGGCTGACTAAAGAGACCTACACGGAAACAGAAGAGAAAAACAAAAACAAAAAAGGAAACAAAAAGAAAAAAAAAAAGAAAAAAGAAAACAGAGGTTCCAGAGTGTTAGAATAAAGCCCCTAGCACTGAATTACACAGATTGGGCCCCCCAGGTGGAGCAAGTGGGTAACACCAGCTGCCTATTTCAACTTGACTCAAACGACCTGGAAGGAAAGGTGGTTGAGAAAGACAGAAGAAAAAACACAAAGGGAAGAATAAATTGAGAGAAGGCGGTAAAACATACACACAAGTTGGAAGGGAAGAGGCTGAAGGGAGAGGGAGAGAATGAGGAAGTTCCATTGGAAGGAGAGGAGCCTGAAGAGATGACAAGAACCTTACCCTCGCCCTTTACAGTCTCTGCAGGTCCCAGAAGTTCCCATTAAATTAAGCCAGACAAATTTAATGGTACCTATGGAAAAGAATACAGATAAATACACATACTCCACACAAGCCGCCCCCTCCTCTGCTCATTCACCATGGGATTTCCAACAGGGACAAGCTCTCTTACTCCTGGTTGACAAGAAACCATTTGTTTGAGAATTTGATGAGCCACTACATCAACAAAGGAAATATATTCCATAAGTACCGCAGGTGACTTTGCAGTTCCCAAGAAAAGAACAGAATAAGGAAACTCCTTGACAGAATTTTGACCCCATGACAATTCAAGAGATTTTCTTTCTCACTTTTAATAAAGAATCCTTCCAATTTATAAGCATAACTATGACCCCTTCATGGCCATAATAACTTAGGTAGGTCTCAATAACTAAATCTATACATTTTCTTATAATTCCCATTCTTTCCTTCCAGAACATCCCCAAATGAATTGGCCTCAAGTTTGTCACTTTCAGAACAATTTTCTATAACTTTCACCATTAAAATAGTAGCTGGCAAAATTCTTGGGAGAAAAAATTCAAACTTTCCATTTTATACAGATGAAGAAACTTTTACCATCATACACAAAAAACTGCCCACTGTCGGTGGCAATTCTGGAGCCAGGATGAGATGCCCACACTGCTGACCCTTGGGCCAGTGTCCTTTCTTCCAAAAACACATTGTGAAAGATCCGTCTGCAGCAGACAGGTTACATGAAAATATTCCAATAGGATCACCAGTGTCAGAATAATCCAGAGCTGATCTATTGACATACTAGGGAAAGTAGTCTCCAGGTCTACACTTGGGTGAAATGCTTTCCTGCTCTTCTAGAGGCAAACTTACCTTGTTCTAACAGAGTTCTAGGGGAGTTACATAATGACATCTTAACACTGGCTACTAAACACACCTCAGGCTGCTTGGGCCTGATCCTAGGGGGCATCAGATCTGAACATACCTTTAGCTGGTCAAATCCTACAGTGTCTGGGTGTAGGTTTTTTTTTCTCTCTCTTTTTTTGATAACAGGGATTGAACTCAGGGGTACTTTTCCACTGAGCCACATCCCCAGCCCTTTATATTTTTATTTAGAGACAGGGTCTCAATGAATTGCTTAGGGCCTTGCTTAAGTTGCCAAGGCTAGCTCTGAACTCATAATCTTCTTGCCTCAGCTTCCTGAGCTGCTAGAATTACGGGCGTGCGTCACGCACCTGGCTGGGCATAGGGTTTTTTAGAGTAGCACTGTACTTATATTGTACCACAGATTCTGGGGTAGGTTAAGATATTTCCACCTCATATTACTTAGTTTAATTGATGATATTTTAAATTAGAAAAGAAAAAAACCCTACAATTTAGTTTCATTTGCTGCTTTTAGGGTTTTAGTTCATTGATTCCATATCTCTGAACTGTGTACACATGCACACACTTTTAGAAATGAGGAAATCAGGATGGGCATGGGGTAGAAGTGAAAGGTCAATGACTTTACAAGGATCAGGGATGAGAAGGCTTAAAGGTTTCAATTTTAAAATGGGCCATGCACTTTTGATTTATGCATGTATTCATAATTCATCAGCTTAGGTGTCTTCTATGGAGTCCCAGGCAATATCCAAAGTAAACCTGGAACTAAACATTGCCCTATTTGGCTATCCACATTCTTTGAGAGTAAGATGATCAAGGGCTAATCCTTGCCTAAAATAAGGGCTTCAAAAGCCGTATCCGAAACATAGCAGCACTGACCAGTCACTTCCGCTCCATCTATAATTATCAATAAAAATTTATATGGAGATAACTTCTCTCAAGTTCGGCCAACTCTTAAACCCAAATAATCTAAAATCGACAGACTTTTATTGAAGCTATAAAATCTGAAGGTAAGCTATCCCATTTCAACTCGTTATCTGAGTTCAGAAGTCCCCTGGGTCAGCTTCATCCTGTGAACTCTGTCAGGTAAAAATTGTAAAAAACTAAGCTTTGACTGGCTACTGGCCCCACACAATGCAAGAGGACCTCATCTCTTCAGGGTTGGTGACTTATCTGTTAATGATCAGGTCTACAGTGGGGAGAGGGGTGAAGAAGGTACAGAGGCCAATTCAGCACTGGCTCGAAAATGCTGCTGAGAGATAAACTGCTCAGCTAATTGATTGAGGGAAGATCTCCCAAGACAGAATCAATAAGGGTCTTATCTGGGTTATTCCTTAGCAGCTGAGGGCTCACATAATCCTCTGAGTCTCCATGTTAAACCTTCACTGGAGATAATCAGAACATTACTTAAAGTGCAATTTAAAGAATGAATCAAACCTAAAGAGGAAAAAGGAACTGAGGAATCAAAATCCAGGGTATCTACGGCTGCAGGCATGGAAAAAAACACACTGGGTGACATTTTCAAAATAAGTAAATATATTCAAACAGAAAATGTTTTCAGTAGTGAACTCTGGATGAGAAGCATGGTCTCTGAAAGCTCCCATCCTTAGAATGGATATGCTGGCTAACTGCTGCAAATGATGGGGAAAATTTCCCTAGAGAAAAGATGCTAACATTCTTTTACAGGACACAATATCCGTGGCAGTAAATGACCTGATCGAAACAAAATGACCCTGTTTGGAACTTAAATGACTTATTAATAAAAAGAATTGATCTTAGAAGTTGTTTGGGTTATCCACAGGTATCTAAAAAAAATGCTTTCAGCAGCTTGATGAGGCAACAAGGAAAAATGAATATCCATTAGGGAAACAAATGTGGAAATGAATGACAGATGCAGATATCAAGTCACCAGATGATCAACTAGGAGGAAGAGTCTCTCAGAGATGGTGGTAAATTAGGTTCTACAATTTATACTTGCTGGTTGTTCTAAAATACAAAGGGAACCATATATTTTACCCAGCAAAAGCTCTGATGCCAGTCCAAGCTATATTGTCCATCCACAACTCATTGATGACAAACTGTACAACCATTGTGATAGAATGGGGTATTCTCACTTAGCATGCTAGGCTTCAAGCTGGTGGTTCTTTGTGTATGAATATTGTTTCAGACACTTACGGAGAAGTGCCCATGCCTAACTCTCGCTGTATTCCCCACAGCACCTGGAAGGGAAGAGGCTTTGCATATTGTAGGTGCTCAATAAGCATTTGATAAGTGAAGAATAAATAAACTGTTCTGTTGGAGGAAAGAACTCAATAAAAGGGAGGTTTCTAGGAGAGATCCATTCCCAAAATGCTGGGTTACCATACACTTATAATCAGATCAGGGTTGCCTAATAGATTAACATAAGCTCCACAGAGGTTTGGACCATGCCTACCTGTCTCCCTGTGACTCCCTATGGCTCTGGGACAATTCTACAGAGCATGGTAGAAACCAGTTCAGAAGCATTCTCTGGAACCAGCGTTAGGCCCCAAAGCAATGTAATAATACAGCAACACCCAAAAGCTAGAGGAACTGAAGGGTTGCTGTCAACTGGCCATATGCCTGTATTATTATTATTTTTAAATCCCTTTCTACATAGTATATAATAAATATATTTGTTAAAAAAAAAGGTGATGTGTAGGATTGTTATGCTTTTAATAGGCTACTTGGGTACTAGAGGCATGTGAAATATCTGACCAACATTCTTAAATCCTGGGGTAGATCACCCCAGAGAAAGAGGAAGAGAGTGGGGTAGATGGTGGAGGGAAAGGCCATAGTGGGAGGCTTTGTTTCAAATTACAGCATCCCTAGGGTAGCTGGAGTATGGTAGCAGATGCATATGTCTGAGGTCCTCACAAAGTTCAAAAGATGTGCTCCCACAGGTGCCCTAACTGACTCTGGGCAGTCCAGAGGAGTGAATGTGAAATGGAACTTCCCTTTTTCTAGAAAGAGAGCTGGTCCAGTCTGATTTCAGGTCTCTAGGCCTTATTCTACACTCTGCCTAAGTCTCAGCACTGCAGCTTTCTGTTTGAAAGGAGAGGTCCCTCACAGATAGCATTGATGGTTGCTGAAGGGAGTGCAGAGATCTCTTATTGCCAAGGACTGTGGCAATTATCTTTTTGGTTTATCTTAAGAGGATAGGGTGGCCTCCTCATCTCATTCTGAAATCTTCCCAAAGGCTGGCTTTTTGAAATGGAAGAAAATGGAGACACAGTGATAGCTCCTAAAGACGTCATTAACCACAGGAATTGCAAACTGTTAGGAAAGGAATGCATTTATGGAACAGAAATCATTACTGGGGAAGAGTGCTGGGCTCCTGTAGAGAGAGATTTCCATATCACCCTATCCTACATTCTAGAAGTACTCTATGGATGGTTCACCATTATCAATGAACCTTCTCTTCTAAACATACCAACCTAGACCCAACCACCCCACTTTTGTGTTGCTTCTCAGCCCCTGGTAGGATGTGAATTCTCCATGGGCCCTGGTCCAGCAATTCCCATGTACTCTTTCTTTAAATGCTGATTTGTCTAGGGAAAAAAAAAAAGCTTTAGTTATTATACAAAACAAGAAAACAATCACTATTTTTAGTAAAGCCAACAAGAAGCAAATTCTTGTAGGGTGAGAAATAGTTACAGATGATGCATCTTCTAACCTGAAAAATAATACAAGTAGTCACAGCCATCAAGTCTTGGAGAGAGAGGGTCTTGGAACCTGGAAGGAAAAAGGATTTCTCACTTGGTGATCACTGTAGAAATGGCAATGCAAGAACTCTCCCTGATAAACTGATTTGCTCAGGTAAGTATGGGAATGGCCAGGAGAGTTGCACAGACCCTACTACTACTTCACCCCAGCAGCCCCACTTCAACCCCTCACCCCTTTCTCCTGGCAAAAGAGGTCATCCTGCTGGTGGGGAGCAAGAACCTTCCAGTTCCCAGGCTGAAAACAAAAACTTTGAGACCAACGATTCCATTTTCACTCCTAATCTCTGAATATAAATTAAGCCAAGCCCAACAGTAAAGAGTTGGCTGGTGTGTCCCTGGAGCAAACGCAGACTTCACAGTTCCCATTCCTACAGTTAAGATTTGAGCACTGAAAGGAACTTCACTGGAGCCTACACCCATAGGTTGATCTAAACCTAGCCCCAGGCAGCTTCAGCCACTAAAGGGAGACACCCCTTTGTTTTCCTGCTAGAAGGGTTGGGCAACAGAAAGCAGGACACGTACAGCCACGATGAGGAAGTCCAGCCAGCACCAGGCATTGGTGAAGAACTTCACGAAGCCATAGGCCGTCCACTTGAGCAACATCTCCAGGATGAAGATGTAGGTGAAGACTTTGTCAGCGTATTCCAGGATGGTTCGGATGGTCTTCCTCTGCTCAATGTAAATGTCCTCAAAGGCCTGAAAGAGAGGCAACAGCTGCCTACTACAGTGCTGAAAGGTAAACAGGCTCTTGGGAAGCTGGCCTTTCATCAGCTTCCTGCCTCTTCCACTTTACTTCCCTGCTACACATTTTATTTATATATTTTTGCAGTGTTGAGTATTGAATGCAGGGCCTTGCTCATGCTAGGCATGTGCTTTACCACTGAGCAAAATCCCCAACCCAGGGTTTTATTTTATTTTATTTTTTATCAGTGTTATTGAAGAATACTTCATATACCATATAATCCAGCCATTTAAATGTAGAAATTCAATGGCTTTTAGTACATTCAGAATTATGCATCCATCATAATTTTAGATCATTAAATCAAACGAACTCCCATACCCTTTAGTTATCACCCCACAGCCTCTTCCTACTCCCCTGATCCTAGGCAACCACTAATCTACTTTCTATAGATTTGCCTATTCTGGACATTTCATATAAATGGGATCATATATCATGTGGTCCTTCATGACTTATTTCTTAAGTAAACATAAAGCTTTCAAAGTTCTTCCATGTTGTCGTGTGTATCAGTACTTCACTCCTTTTTGTGGTATAATAATATTCCAAGATGTGGTTATGTCACATTTTGTTTAGCCTTCATCAGTTGATGAAGATTTGTGTTGTTTCAATTTTTTTGGTCATTATGAATAATGCTCCTGTGAATGCTTGTATGTGAGTTTTTATGTGAACATATATATGCTTTCATTTTTCATATGCCCGGAACAGAACTGCTGTTAATTCTATGCTTAATTTTTTGAGGAACTGTCCAACTGTTTTCCAAAGTGGTTACACCATTTCATATTCCTACCAGCAGTATATGAATGTTCCAATTTCTCTATATCTTCACCAATATTACACATATGACAATATATTTTGTTTCAAGTCCCTTGATACCACAGATATGGGTGGAGGGCCATAGGGATGGGAGATACTTAGGGGTAGAAAATTGTAGTATGGCTTTCTTCTCTGATATCCATGAATGAGATAATTCTTTGATATGAAGGTATGAGAATTCCCATTTGCAGAGTGCAGAGTGATGTTAAGAGAAGGGACGCTTATATAACATGAAAAAAGTGGAGGCATGTTAACATCAGGTGCTCCAGTTTCATCAGTGGTCAGTAGACACAGAAGTCATGGGATCCACAATCCTTCTCATGGACTTAGTACAATAAATACTCTCTGATCAATTAAAAAAGCAGCAGCTTCTATGTCAGGCTTTCCCTTAACTCTATTTGTTAGAAATTCATTCTAAGGATCCCCTATCTCTGAGATTGCACTACAATTATGCTCTAGTAGCTTCAGTCCCTTCACTATTCTTAAGTCTCATGCCTATTATGGCATAAGGTCTTCCTGTCCTGAGTTAAGGTATCCAGTGTTTGCTCATCCATGACAAATAAAAATTGTCAAAGGTGATCAGTAAAGAAAGTTCAAAACTTTTGCTGTCCTGCTGCTTTATTCTTTCTATGGAGTCAGGGAAGAAAAGCAGCAAGGGATGGGGTATGTTCTGTTTTTTTTGTGTTTTTGTTTACTTACTAGATTTAAAGAATGATGATGACAATGATCAAATACCCTTCTCTAGTCACTCGCCCTAGTCTGATCCTTCTGCTCCTCAGGGGCAGAGACCATGCTGCTGTCACTGCGCCAGGAAGCATGGCATGAATGCTCAGTAATGCAAAAGGTGATCTGGGGCAGGTGAGACAGTCTGGCTGCCCCTCACTCAGACCATGGTTCTCATCCCATCTTCTGGGCCTCCTGCTGTAGTCCTGATGCCTGCCTGCATAATCCTCCCTACTCCTCACGTCCTAGTCAGAAAGTCATCCCATTTGTCCTTGGGCTCCTTATTACTATACACTACGCCTCTGTCAGCTTCTCCTGGTCTTTTACCTTCTAAGCCAGTGAAACTTCTTGAGTTACTGTCTTTAACACCAAATTTGAGTTTTCTCCCTTCTTGTTATTATTATTTTTTGCTTTTAGATGAAGCTTGATTTCTTACTTACATGAATGTATCCACTTTCTTTAAAAACATGTCAAAATTCTATACTCTTCACCTTTCCTTTAATGAAAGGAAGAAAATGTGTGCTGCCTTTAGTCCCTCTGTCCTCATATCTCCTCAGTTATAGATGAATCCCTCATACCAGACCCTGTCCAGTCGTCTCAGTGATAATCAGGCTAAAAATGAGAGCAAATGCCAAGACCATTAGTCATCACAGGGGAGGTACTGTGTATTCAGCACCCTGTACACCTCATGGTGTACACACTGTGCACCTAGGGCAACGTGAATATAAATAACCTCTGCACCAGAGATCTGACTCTCTAAATGTTTGCTAATGTGGGTTCTCCAAAACCAGTAGGATGTGAAGGGAGAGGGAGGAAGAACACCACCTCCCTCATCTTGAGCTACTGAAATGTATAGAATGAGAAATTTTGGGTGTTAGGTGAGAGAGGAAAGTTCATCTGAGGAAGCTGCTTAGGCTGGGGTGAAGGGGGTACTGAGGACACGTGGTAATTTGTGTGCTCATCCTGACGAAAAGGTGGTCTTAGGCATCAGAAGATCAGGAAGTGGGTAAGTGTGGATTTTAATGCCCAAAGCTCAAAACACCAGCCTGAAGTACTTTAATAGATGATTATTCTCAGGGCCACAGCTCATCTGTACTTTAAAATCACCAGGCTTGGGCCCCATCCAGCCTCCTCCCACTGGTTTCTCTTTACCCTTCCCCAGCCAAAGCCTCATCATATTTCCCCCTGGACCTCACCAGGGCACCACTGCTGAGCAGAATCATGAAGATGATGAAGGTCTCAAACCAATTGTGCTCCACGATGAGGAAGCAGGTTTTCCGCAGGATCCACCAAGACTTGCCTAGCCCTTCCTCAATGTTGACTTGGCAGCACTTGAACCGCTGGACACAACCTGGTACCAGTGTGAGAGGAGGTCAGACTATGGAAATTTGCCCTACCCAGACCCGCCCTCTCCTCCATCTCCCAGGCCCCACCACACAGCAGGAAGGACAGTGGCTAAATCAGTATATCTGATTCAAGAATGGAGCCAGTGGCAGGGCTGAGTCTATACTACAAAGGTTAACGGGGCAAGGCCTTCTGGAGTCAGGAGGCAGGCACAGCCACAATAGGAGAGGACGTTTTCATGGCTGAGTTTGGGCTGATGCCCAAAGCAGACAGACAAAAGAGAAGCTGGAGAAGAGAAACTTACATGTCAGAACTGACTAGGGGAAACGGTACAACTTTCTTCAAAATTGGGGGTTGGGAACAAAGTTCTTGAAGATAGCCACCAAACACCCCCCACCTGGCACAGACACATCCATAAGCCGTGCACGTGCTCACTCCTCTCCTTGCCCCTTGTACCTTCGGTGAAGCAGGCATCTGGATCCAAGTATTCCTCAGGCTGTTCCACAGGGACTTCTTCTACTTCTGGCTTGATATCGATGGTGCTTCCTTCTGAGGAGCTAGTATCATCCAGTTTCTAGATATGCAAGGAAAAGAGAGGTGAAGCAACTCTGCAGAAACACATCCACTGGACATGGATGACTACTCTGCTAGGAGGGACAGGCCAGATGTAACTCTTCTCTATAATTCTTATTATAATTCATCACCATCCAACTCATGATCATGAGATCAAGACCACAGGCCCTCAATAATTCTGTCAGGATGGGATAAAACCCACATAGAGAAGATAGCGACCCAGCCTAAGCTAAATGTGACCCTGGGTTGGTCTCAGGCAGATTAATGGTAGTGAAGGACTCAGTGGTTTACTCCAGTCTCTAACCAGATGCTTCAGAAGCAATGGAGCCAACCTAGACTAGAGTTGGTTTTCAAAGTGAACTGGCTTTTGAAGAATCTACCAAACCCAGAACTGAACCAATCCCTGGGGTTGACAGAGTCCTGTTTGCTATTTCACATAGAATCAAGGCAGGTTTCTGGGCTGGGACCTTACATCTTTGCTGCCTTCAGGATCTGACTCGCTGCTAACATCTTCTGTGTTGAGGTTCTCAAAGTCAGACTCGCCTACAGCAATAGGCACCCGTACAGTCAAGTTGGGGTTGTTGATGAAGGACATGTGGTCCTCATCAATGATATACTTCTCCACGCTGCTGCCAATGCCACTGGTTGTACCATTGCCATTCTTCTGGAAGTCACCATTCCGGTGGATGTCTGCACCCGTATGGTTGGCAATGCAGTTGGCCTTCTTTTCATATAACTCATCCAGTGGTTTCACTTCATCTGCCTCACGCTGCTTAAAATGAGCCTGCATGAAGGCATGCACTTTTACTTTGGTCCAAGCCACACCCTTCTTGATGCGAATTACTGAGATCTGTAGGTTATTCATTTCTCCATCATCATCTGTGGCTGCCAGGTTGTCTGCACTGAAGGAACTCAGAAGCAGGGCCAGAAAGAGGTTCAGCACCTATACCAGTAGCATTTGAAAAAGACATGATTATAGAATGGTCTTAGGAATAATTACCTTGCTGCACTAGGGGCTGCAAATTAGAAGCCAACAGAATTTATGTAATAGATTCAAGAATTCCTTTTTCTTTTTCTTTTGGTACTGGGGATTGAACCCAGAGGCACTTAACTACTGAGTCACATCCCCGCCATTTTTTAAATATTTTATTTAGAGACAGGGTCTCACTAAGTTGCTTAGGGCTTTGCTAAGGTGCTGAAGCTGGCTGTGAACTCACTGTCCTCCTGCCTCAGCCTCCTGAACTGCTGGGATTATAGGCATGTGCCATCAGACTGGGATAGATTCAAGAAATTCTGTTGTGTTTCTTTGGCCTGTATAGTATTTTAAATACTCATGTCACCAAGTAGATTTTTTTTTTAAATTTTAATACAAGTAGCCTAGCACCTCTTTTCTTGGCTATTTTACAGTTGTACATATGGACTCCAAAATATACGATTTCTCTTACAACCAGAAAAAATAAAGATTGTATTCATTTTGATTAGAAAAATCTCTGAAAATAAAAATAGGTGGATATAGATTTTGGGGAAGGTCAAAGAATACATAGATGCCATGTATTCACAAAGAGTAGCCATGCTAGAAAAAAACAAAAAGCAAGGCTTGGTGAACCATACTTCCATACAACAAATAAAGAAGGTAGAATTCAAATATATTTCATATCATCTTATTTTAAGAATAAATTTTGAAGAGCTGGGGTTGTAGCTCAGTGGTAGAGTGCTTGGCTAGCATGTGTGAAAAACTGGTTCAATTCTCAGAATCACATATAAATAAATAAAAAGAAAGGTCCATCAACAACTTAAAAAAAAAAAAAAAGAATGAATTTTGAGGCTGTGGCTCAGTATGTGTGAGGGCTTGTCTTTGATTCCCAGTACCACAAAACAAAAAAAAAAAAAAAATGAGTTTTCTTTGCTTTCATAACATTTGTAAAAATAAAATAACTGCCAGTCATGGTAGTGTGTGCCTGTAGTGCTGGTTACTTGGGAGGCTGAGGCAGGTGGGTAGCCTAAGTGCAGGAATTTGAGGCCAGCTTGGGCAGTATATTGAGACCTCATTTCAACAAAACAAAATTAAATAAAAAAATTATAATAGGGCTGGGGATGTGGCTCAAGTGGTAGTGCGCTTGCCTAGCATGCATGAGGCACTGGGTTCGATTCTCAGCACCACATAAAAACAAAATAAAGATATTGTGTCCACCTAAAAAAAAAAAAACCTAAAAAAAAATTATAATAAAAACTTTAGCAAGACAGTGATGTCGTCTTCTGTGTTCATAGCCAAGTGTCAGGCCACCAGATACAACTTTATTTGTTTTTGTTTAAATTTCTTATTTTATTACAATGGACATTAAGATTAACTTATTTGGCTAGATGTAGTGGCAGATGCCTGTAATCCCAGCAACTCATGAGCCTGAGGCAGGAGGATTGCAAGTTTAAGGCCAGCCATAGCAATTTAGCCAGATCCTATCTCAAAAAAAAAAAAAAAGACTGGGGATGTAGCTCAGTGATAAACTGCTACTGGGTTTAATCCCTAGTACCCTCCACCAACAATTAATTTATTTTTATTAAGTCCTACTTTGAAAAGAGGGAGAAGTGCTCATTTCCTGATTTAATTTGTTCTTTACTTTGTCATACTTTGGAAGAAGAGAAGGGCATACATTTTAGATAGAGATAATAGTGTATGTTGAGAAAGAGAGTAGAAATAATAAATAAACTATAAGTATTTGGATCATCTGGGCTATTTGTAGAGTTAAAAAGAAACTGACAATGGGCTGGGGTTGTAGCTCAGTGATCGAGCGCTTACTTAGCATGCACGAGGCACTGGGTTTGATCCCAGCACCACATAAAAAAAACGAAATAAACAAAATAAAGGTATTGTGTCCATCTACAACTAAAAATATTTAAAAAGAAGAAGAAGAAGGAGGGCCTGGGGATGTGGCTCAAGTGGTAGCGCGCTCGCCTGGCATGTGCACGGCCCGGGTTCGATCCTCAGCACCACATACAAACAAAGATGTTGTATCCGCCAAATACTAAAAAATAAATAAAATTAAAAAAAAAAAAAAAGAAGAAGAAGGAGAAATTGACAAGCCAGGTGCAGTGGCACATGCCTGTAATCCCAGTGGCTTGGGTGGCTAAGGCAGGAGGATCAAAGCCAACCTCAGCAAAGGCTAGTCACTAAGCAACTCAGTGAGACCCAGTCTCTAAATAAAATACAAAATAGGGCTGGGGATGTGGCTCAGTGATTGAGGCCCCTAAGTTCAATCTATAGTATAGGGAGAGGGGAAGGAAAGAAACTGACAAAATGGAATAGGAGAGGGCTTGGAAGGCCAAGCTGAGGGATGTAAATTGTATTTAATTGGATCTACCATTGTTTTTGTGCTACTGGGGATTGAACCTAGGACAAGGGTACTTGCTAGGCAAGTGTTCTACCACAGAACTACCTCCTCAGTTTCCCCTCCTCTTTTTAAATTTTATTTTGAGATGGGATCTTGCTAAGCTGCCTAGGCTGGCTTTAACCTTGAAATCCTCTGCCTCTCTTTTCTAAGTAGCATGATCACAGGTGTGTGCCACTATGCTCAGGTCCACTATTTGTTCTGAATAAAGGAGACACAGAGGATGACAGATTTGAGAAAGTCATTCCTATTTGTTACATATAGAGGAGGTTTGAAGCTAGAAAGCTGTTGCAGGCATGAGCTGATGAAGTTTGGATCAAGCTCTTATGGTCCCAATCATTAGCATTTGTCAGTCTCTAGGAGGAAGCAGACCCTTGTTAAAACACAATTTCCTTGCCCTACGTTGAAAAGACCCTGATTCAGGAGATCTGGTGAAGGGTCTTCGACTGGGTTTTATTAATGAATGAGTCTTGGGTGATTATGATGCAGGTGGTCTTCAGACCACACTTTTAGAAATACTGCATGGATTACAGAATTGCAAAGGAAGGGGTAAATCATAGAAATATGATGGAGAAAGATGAAAAAAGACCTGTGAAGTAAGATGTAGTTAAGAAAGATATACTTAAGATGGATTAGTGCTTGCTGATAGTAGAAAGAAAAAGAGAAAAGGCTCCAAAGTTATAGGATCCTAGAGACTAGGTGGGCAGGGCTAAACTAGAGGGAACCTGGAAAAGTGTCATGGCGGGCAGAGATGACTTCAGCCCTGTGCTCAGGTGCCTGGAGGCAGACATGGGGAGATGTCTGGGGACAACAGAGAGGGTGGTGAGGTAATGGGGCAGGAAATGTTGATACATTACATGACAGGAAGCAGGAGCGTACTCTCTAAAGGAGTGAAAACATTTAGAGACACTGGAGCAGAGGGAAAGGTGCAGGAATGGAAAATAATATTAATTAGAGAAGTATCACGGTAGCTACTTTTACAGGTCAAATGAAAACATAGGATAGCTATGTCTGGTTCAGAGGCTGGTGAGTAGGATCCCTTGGCTGGCATATTTCTTTTTTTCTGGTACCAGGGATTAAACCCAGGGATGCTTAACCCCTGAGCCACATCCCCAGCCATTTTTATATTTTATTTAGAGACAGGGTCTTGCTGAGTTGCTTAGAGCCTTGCTAAGTTGCTGAGGCTGGCTTTGAACTCATGATCCTCCTGCCTCAGCCTCCTGAACTGCTGGGATTACAGGTGTGCACCACCTAGGTGCATAGGTGGCATATTTCTTCATGGCAGAAAACAGAAAGGAAATAATATGGATGAGTTCATAAGGGATCATTTGAGCTTGCCATCTTCCAGTCCTTCAAGCTCTGTACTTGCAAGTAGGATCTGGAGACCTGATCCATAAATTGTGATTTCTCAAATTGTGGTGTGCAAATAAATCACATAGAGATCTTGTTATAAATAAATATTCTGATTTAATAGGTTTGGGGTGGGGTCTAAGATTCTACATTTCTAGCATACTCCCATGCGATCTCATTGCTGCCGTCCTTAGATTATGTGTTGAGAAACAAGTTATTAAAATCTCTGCTGGTGATTCTTCCATACACAGAGGCAAAAGACAGGTAGGTGGAGGAGCAGAGTAAAGCAAAAAAAAAAAAAAAAAAAAAAAAAGATTTCCCATTTATACAGATAAAGTCAAACTCTAAGATGATTTAGATCAGTGGTTTTTCCATGTAGAGTAATTTTGTACTCCAGGGGACATTTGGCAATGTCTAGAGTCTTTTTTGGTTATCCCAATTTGGGGGATGCTACTGGCAGCTTGTGGGCTAGGGATGCTGTTCAGTTCTACAAGGCACAGGACAGTCTTACAGAGAATCTGATGTTCACAATGCCACGGTGAAGAAATCCTAGTTTAGAAAAAGGATTTTTTTTTTTTTTTGGTAGTTGAAAGAGCACAGTGTTGTAGTCTAGGTTCAAATAGAAGCCTTGATATTTAATAGCTGTATGATCTTGGGAAAATCACTTAAGTTCGTTGAGTTTTGTTTTTTTAACTATGAAAAAGGGTTGGCAGATTGTGTTGTGTTATGACTTAATAGGTCCTCTTTTTTTTTTATTTGAAGATGGATACAATATCTTTGTTTATTTATTTTTATGGTGCTGAGGATCAAACCCAGTGCCTCACACATGTGAGGCAAGCACTCTACTGATGAGCCTCAACCCCAGCCCCTTAAAATACCAGTCTCTCCCTCATCTGTATCTTAGGGTTCCTGGTCCAAGAAAGAACTAATATTTCAACAGACATGGAAGGTGAGAGAGGGACTATGTAGACTGGGCTTCTGGGCCAAGGGTAGGATGTTCAGGGCAAAGAACAAAATTTTGTTATAAATTATACTAACCACCAAGTTGCCAATAACCATGACCATCATAAAAACAATGAGGCACATGGCCTGGCCTGCCACCTCCATGCAGTCCCACATGGTCTCAATCCATTCCCCGCATAACACTCGAAAGACAATGAGGAAGGAATGGAAAAAGTCATGCATGTGCCAGCGAGGGAGTTCACAGTCCTGGTTGATCTTGCAGACACATTCTTTGTAGCTTTTCCCAAAGAGCTGCATTCCCACCACGGCAAAGATGAAGACAATAATGGCCAGCACCAGGGTCAGGTTGCCCAAGGCACCCACTGAATTTCCAATAATCTTGATCAGCATGTTCAGGGTGGGCCAGGATTTGGCCAATTTGAAGACTCGGAGCTAAGAAGAAAATAAATCAACAAAAACTAAATGATACTCAATCCATTGTCTTATCACGTGACTAAAATAAAAACATATAAAATTCATAAGATCAGCTTAAATTTATTTAACTCCCTTGAGAAATTCCCAGTACTTTCTTAGGGGTCTTAGACTAACAGGGGAGAAACTGAGGTATAGATAAGGGAAAACTAATTAATTTCAGAGTAAGTGAAAATTTAGAGCTAGGATCTAAGAATGCTGCCTCTAGTACTTTGTATTAGATCCCGAATCCATCTGCTTTTTAAAAACTCACACATGAACATATCTTTTTCTATTTATTTCCCATTGATGTCTCAAGGTACATGTGAAAGAAAACATGATTTGTTGGAAACTAAAAGATCAGTATGGCAAGGACAATGAGAAGAAGTCATCTATCACCTTAAAAAGGCAAGCATTTAAAAATTCTAAGTGTTAGCTGGACATGGTGGTGCACACCTGTAATCTCAGCAGCTTGGGAGACTGAGGCAGGAAGATTGCAAGTTCAAAGCCAGCTTCAGCAATTTAGTGAGGCTCTAAGCAACTCAGCAAGACCCTGTCTAAAAATAAAAAATAAGAAGAGGGCTAAGAGCTAGGGATGGCTCAGTATTTAAGTGCCTCTGGGTTCAATCCCAGGTTAAAAAAAAAAAATCTCTTTTGCTTGCCAATAAATAATCAATGGCTGCTACGCAATTTTGTGATATGCTCAGAATAACTTGGAGAAAAAGTACAACTCCCAAGTAGAGACAGTTCTACAAATATCATGAAAAGAGCCTATACTGTTATTAATTCAGAGGACAAAACTCTTTGATTTGAACATTTGTTTTTAATTTAAAACTTGAGTCTCATCTGAGATGGGTTGCCTTATGTGTGTATCTGGGCCACTTATATTTTTTTCCCCTTCCTGGCTTCTAATTTATTCAGGCTATTAATTTTCTGGTTTCTCTCTTTCTTTCTTTTTTAATTTTTTTAGTTGTAAGTCAACACAATGCCTTTATTTTTTACTTATTTATTTTTATGTGGTGCTGAGGATCGAACCCAGTGCCTCACCCATGCTAGGCGAATACTCTACCACTGAGCCATAACCCTGGCCCCTGATTTCTATCTTTCATTCCTTCCACTTATAATTGATATAATAAGAACTATTCTCAAAAAGTCAACTGTGGGATGGATCTAAACCAGTTACTATTAAGCAGAGGTTTCAGAAACTTGACAGATGCTAGATGTTATTTTTGACTTACACCAAGTGAGAGCTCTGTTTTACAAATAGTTTTATTCCATTCCATTTCTCTTTCTTTGATTTGCTGAATATCCTGGTGAAAAAACCTTAAATCCTTTCAGTTGCAAGTGCTTAGGCATCTTCCTGATTGGGAGAGAAAACCCTAAACTGTTCTGATGCCAATGAGGCAGCAATGAGCTTGGAGTGAGATACCCTCAGTGTAATTCAGTTTCTCCAGGGACTTACTCAAGACATAACATATGCCTCTATTTACAGGTAGCTCCTTTGAGGATTTATTAACTGTTCTTTCAGGGTCATTTTAATAAATTACACATTACTTCAAATATGTTAATAAAAAATTCTTCTGAGCTAATAATGTGGAAAACCCAATGTTCAACAACTAATTTCAATATAATTTTAAAAAAATTTATTTTATTCCAAATTTCTAAAAGGGGTCACTATGATAAAAGAAACAAGGAAAGCCATCTTTGAAAATGGAGAGATTCTTTCCATTTCAGGGGATGCTCAGATAAAGAAACAGTTCCCCGGTAAACTAAATTAGACCTCAGAAAAGCCCTTAAGAAGCCTTTATCTTTTAGGTTAGCATTATTTTCTGATGAAATTCCCCAAATTCATTTCTGTTTGCTTATTGACTTAAAAAACCGACTTCTACATTGTGCATCTAATGGGAAAGTTTTCAAGCTTTTAGTAGCTAAGTCAACTAAATGTCCAACTGGAATTGGGAGTAGAATATAGCTAAGGCTTTTTTTTTTTTTTTAAACACAATTAAATTTACTTATACAAAACTCTTTCTAGTAGTTGCAAGATAGGAAATTAAAAGAAATCGGAGAAATATGGAATACCAATCGGAAAGATCGCAGCACCGAAAGCCCCTCCACGTCTGCTAGACCCAGTTCCATTAAACTGAGGGAGACAATAAATCCGTCAAAAATGTTCCAACCTTCTTGGAAATAATAGTAGGGATCCATGGCTATGAGCTTCAGGAACATTTCCGCTGTGAAAATTCCAGTGAAAACCTAAAGAGGGGAAGGCAGGAGGTAAGGAAAAGAAATAATAGAGAACGCCTTCATCACCATCATTGGATACAGTATGTCCATGAGACCTCAAGAGGCAGGCTTGGTTTCTGCGTCCACAGATATCAATACCTGGATGTCCCACAAGCACCCCATATGATGCAGGAAAATCTCCCTGTTTTCCCCTTTAATACTTTAGGGGGCTGGGGATGTGGCTCAAGCGGTAGCGCGCTCGCCTGGCATGCATGCGGCCCGGGTTCGATCCTCAGCACCACATACAAAGATGCTGTGTCTGCCGAAAACTAAAAAATAAATATTAAAAATTCTCTCTCTCTCTCTCTCTCTCTCTCTCTCTCTCTTAAAAAAAAAAGTTAAAAAAAAATAAAGACTTTAGCCCCAATGTCCCCATATTTGTTAACAATTAAAGGCAATTAAAAAAAAACAACCTAAGTAATGTTAATTGCACACAAGGTGACTCCTTTTGACAAGGGTCAGCAGTCTCTTTGAATGTATATGCTGGGGGTATTTGTTTTAAAAAACCAATTGCTTTCAGCCAGTCATGGTGGTCCCTGCCTATAGTCCCAGTGACTGAGGCGGCTGAGGCAGGAGGATCCTAAGTTTGACGCCAGCCTAGGCAACTTGGTGAGATGCTGTCTCAAAATAAAAATATAAAGGGCCTGGTGGTATAGTTCAGTGGTAGAGCACTTGCCTAGCATGTACGAGGCTCTGGTTTTAGTCCCCAGTATGGCAAAACAACAATAATAACAACACAAGAAAATAGACATTATTATTGCTGTGGGTATATACGTGACTGCATGACCAATGTAATTCTGCAACCTGTACACTCAGAAAAATGAGAAATTATATCCCATCTGATTCAAATGTATGATATGTCAAGATCATTGTACTGTCATGTGTAATTAATTAAAACAAATTAAAAAAAAAGAAAAAAGAAAAAGATATTTGAAAATTAAAAAAAAAAAAAAAAAAGAACAACACAAGAAATCATCTCATAGAAGTAGATAGTAGTTACCAGAGGCTGGGGAGGGCAGGGAAGAGAGGGAAGGAGAGAGGTTGGTCAATGGAACTGTTACAGTTAGATAGGAGGAACAAATTCTGGAACAAGCAGGATGCCCACAGTTAGCAAAAATGTATCTTGTATTTCAAAATAGCCAGAGAGGACTTTGTTCTCATCACAAAAAAATTCTAGTGGAGGTAATAGGTATGCTAATTGACCTGAATGTATCATTACACAATATATACATGAATTGAAACATTACACTGTACCTCATAAATATGTACAATTATGTGACAATTAAAATATAAAAACAAAACTTGTAAAAAAAAAAAAAAAGATCATTGATTGTTATTAGCCCTCACTTGATAGTATAGGTCTTAGGAAACCAAGACATATTTGACACGATTTTTTCTTTTTAAGTCATAAAAGCAGTTGAATAGCATCAAAAGTGTGTAAAATATAGCAAAAAATACCCATAATCTCATTACTTTGCATATCATTATTATTCTTATGCATTCTCTTACTTTTTCATATACATTCTGACAGTATTAAAAATCACAGAACACATAATATCTTAGGTCTTATTTATGATCCATCTATGCTGCGTTTTTCTAATTTCTGCTTTTATTGCTATATAAGAGACTACTGGTGGTTGGGTGCAGTGGCACATGCTTGTAATCCCAGTTACTTGGGAGGCCGAGGCAGGAGGACGCGAAGTTTGAGGCTAGCCTCAATAATTTAATGAGACCCTGTTTCAAAAGAAAACAATTTAAAAAATGGCTGGTGGTATATCTCAGTGGTAGAGCACCCCTGGATTAAATCCCTAATAACACACACACACACATATACAATTATACTGGTGCCTACCACACATGAGGCCCTTGATTTAATCCCTAGCACTGTAAAGAAAAAGAGAATATGTGTGTGTGTGTGTGGGGGGGGGCGGGGGGGATAGATTCTACTAGGTGACTATACCTTCAAGAATTTTTCTTATTGTTAGAGACTTTGGTGCTTCCTTCTTGATTTTTTTCAATATGATAATGATGTAAGAAGTGTTAGGTTTGCAGTTTATTGTGCACAAGAATGACTTATTCCCTAGGTCGCCTCCTCCTACTCTTTTACCTGACAGAGCACCTTGTGTTTCCAAGGCCTTCTTATCCTGCAGTCTTATTAAGGTAATATGCAGGTGTCCCCTATGAAAAGATGAATACCCTCTGGCCACATAACAGACTTTTACTGAAAACTATGTTTTTAGAGGGGAGGGTTTTTCATGCAATAGGTTTACAACCATCATAATAATTAGTGCTTGTAATAACTACCTGATCACCAAGTTTATATGTAAAGAAGTTTTTTTTTTTTTTAGAGAGAGAGCGAGAATTTTTTTTAATATTTATGTTTTAGTTTTCAGCAGACACAACATCTTTGTTTGTATGTGTGAGGATCGAACCCGGGCCGCACGCATGCCAGGCGAGCGCACTACCACTTGAGCCATAATCCCAGCCCACATGTAAAGAAGTTTAAGAGGGCTGAGGTTGTGGCTCTGTGGTAGAGCGCTTGCCTAGCATGGGTGAGGCACTGGGTTCGAGTCTCAACCACACATATTAATTAATTAATAAATAAATAAAGGCCCATCAATAACTAAAAAGAAAATAATAAAAAAAAGAAGTTTAAGAAAAGCTTTGAAGACACAGTCTGAGAATTAAAAATAGTAAAAAATGCTTACATTATAGATGCTGTTTAGAAATATGTTAAATTAATATATAGCAGTCACAAAATAGAAGGACTTGATAGAAACACATGAAAATGGATAAATGGGCTCTTAATTTTTCTATTTGAAGATGCAGTATTGTAAAATGGGAAAAAATTCCTAAAGAGATTCAATTTTGCAAAATCAAAGCTCCTAGTGCAAGCTAAGTATCTGCACATGGAATAGTCCCTATCCCCCAGGTTAAGGCCACGTAGGGACAGCTAAGCAAATGCTGACATATATTTCAACCTTTGTGTAAATCCAGCATAGTTTTCTACATCTAGAAATGTTAGCCTGTTTAACAAATACTAAGCAGAAGCTTGATCTATTATCCCATGGTCTCATGGTGAACATATAGGAAGTGCTCAGTAATAAGCACTAGCTGACTGACCATAACAGCGGCACCAGGAAAACGCTAGTTCTAACAGGGAACTCAACAACTGCAGTTAAGGTGATGCTGCCTGTAACTGGAATGAATGATTCTGGATGCCCAGTAGGAACTGTTCACAACAGAGGCCAGCTGCCACACTGCTTTGGCACATGGTATGCTATTAGTTGGGTTGTATGTCAAAATGCATCTGGAACTATTAGTTGTGTGACAGAATTATTTTTTTTTTAAAGACTGAGACAAGTGCTGGGTACAGTAGTGCATACCTATAATCCCAATGACATGGAAGGCTGAGACTGAAGGACTGAAAGTTCAAGGCCAGCCTCAGAAAGTTTGAGGCCAGCCTGTGCAATTTATCCTGACCCAAATTAAAGAATAAAAAGGGTTGGGGATATAGCTCAGTGGTAGAACACCCTGGGTTCTGTTCCTCGTATTGCGGGGGCGGGGGGCAGGAGAGAGAGAATGGATTTAAAGTTATCCCTACAGTAACACTCTTACTAGCACTGTGATGATTTTAGGGGAGAAAAAGGGACTTATAAGCAGCACGTCAGCAACTGCACATAAGTGTCAATCTTGTGATCATCACCAGATATTCACCTAAGAATTTATGTTCTAATACCATCATTCTAGAAGTATAGGAGAGGATCCTTGGGGTCTCTAAGATCCTTTTAAGGTACATGAAGTCCTCCTTTTCTATCTACATGTATTGGAGCCCAAGTGGGATGGCAGGGGTTCAGCTCAGGATGGGGAGACAGTCCTTGAGGAGGCGAGATGTCCTGTGGGGACAAGCCTGGCATGTGCTATCAGAGCCAGGGAGAGGTGTCCACTTTGGGAGACAGTCCAGTGAGGGCTATCAGAGGTAGGACAAGGAGGGTGACACCATAGGATGTAGCCTAGGATGACTATACCACACAGATAGAGGCCCAAGTAACCAATATTAACTCAGACCTCTGTAGCATAGAATGGGAGGGTGTCCACATTGGAGGGAGGTAGGAGAGCTGGCAGAGAGTAAGAGCTTAAGTATGGTGCAGATGGTATCTCCAGGGTAGGACACATGAGTAGAGTGAGGAGGAGCTCCTCATAAGGGAAGACCCAACCTGGATATCAGCCCATAGAGGGATGAGGACGGTGTTCACACAGGGAGGTAGTCCACTGCAGGATGTGAGAGCCCAGCTAGGTGAGAGGGATGTGTTCAGCCACTGAGCTAGGTGGAAGGATAGCCTAGAGAACAAGTATGGGGATGTGGAGTGAGGGGAGTGTCCATGCAGACAGGTGTCATCCACTGTCCATGGAGACAGGTAGTAGCCTTAGCAGGCTAAAGAGAGGCAGCCTGGTATGGGGAGCAAGATCTAGCAGGATAAAGAGAGCACCGTACACCTAATGCTGGGGAAAGGCTGCTGTGTGGTGAGAGGCTGTCCGTATGCAGAAGGTCCCCTGGGAGGCATCAGAGTCAAGTGGGATAGGGGAAACAATGATGGCTTGCATGGGCTGTCAGAGCTTGCAAAGTGTGGCGGGGGCATCCGTCCACTTGGAAGATACTGGCAAGGATGCTGGGGGTGGAGGCATCAACCTCTGTGCATGCTGAGGATGCCCAGAATGGAGAGTCAGTGCCTGAACATAGTGGGGAGGGTAGCCACACTGTAAGAGGTAACGGTGGCTTTCTGACCAAGTAAGTGTATCAAAGAGAGTAGCAATGAATTTCTTTCTGAGCAAACTAGAAAGTACCTAGTGGGTCCTGGACTAGAACTGGAAGTTACACTATCCTCTCATGGTTGTCAACACATATAGCAAGCTTGCTCTAAATGGCTCATCCTTTACCATGAGGGTTGTATGTTGCTCTAAGCAATAAGCACACCCAGATCAGTTTCAAATATTATTTCCATTAAAAGATCAAGTCTTTTTGAGAAATGGCTGATTGCATTTCCAAAATGCAAAATCAGCCTGCCCAGAAAGCAAGGACATATCAAAAAACAAGGATATATCAAAGCAAGGATATATCAAAGGACACACAAGTTAATCTACAGGGCCTTCCAATGGTCAAATTTAAATGTGAAAGTAGATAACATTACTGGATTATAACTCATTGAATAGAACTGAAAACCATGAGTTCATACTGACATAAAAAAAGGAATAACTCAAAAGTTGAGTGAACAGGAAATTTAGATAGTTTCAAAATGTTTGCCTCACAAATACTTATTAATCATAAATGTGAAAAGAGTAACTCTATAGGGAGAAGCCTGGCAGACACTACCTTAATCAAATGATCAAATGAATATTATCAGTAACAGAATAAAGGGAATTTTGTGACACCTAGTAGATACAATGAGAGGAAGGCAACCTAACTTGTGTGATATCCCTATTCAAAGGCAAAACTTACATCTAATCAAGTGGAAGCATCAGACAAATGCAAATTGAGAGAATTCTACAAAATAAGCGGCCATGTAATCTTCAAAGTGTCAAGGCCATAAAACCAATAAAAGCCTGTGGAACTCTTCTGGGATAGAGAAGATTAAATAGATATGACAATTAAATGCAAAGAGTAATTTGGGACCTGCATCCTTTTGTTATAAAGATCATCACTGGGATCTCTGGCAAAACCTGAAAAGGACCTGAGAATTAGAGTTTGTAATGTAGTAAGATTAATCTCATGATTTTGCCGTTATATGATGGTTATGTAGGAGAATGTATTTGTTTATTAAAAAAACTCACACACACATTAAAGTATTTGGGGTGATAAGGCTATGTTGGTAAGTTACTCTTAAAAGTTTTTTATACTGTACTTGAAACTTTTCTGTAAGATTCAGATTGTTACTATAATGCACTAATAACAATTTTAAAAATACTCAGATTGTTTAAAAGCAACCTTATAAACTTACTGTTGTATTCATTTGGTTCAAAACAGGCAAGAAAATAATCATTACATTTACCTACTATATAATACAAAGTCTATATAAGTCACATAGCCTCCCTGGGCTTCAATTTTCTTCATAAAACATGGGAATTGAATGGAATTATTTCTAAGATTCTTCCTATGATTAGCATTTTCTCTTTCAGGGAGTTGGTGGAAGAGGCAGAAAACTTCAGTTTGCAGAAGGCTATTCTCATTTTCCCTCAAAAACATCTACGTGATTGATTGTCTAGGGATCAATAGAATTTAACTCACTGTCCCAGGTGCTGGGAAAAGTCTCCTCTTTCCATCCTAAGACAAGCTTGTACCTTGCTTCAACCAAGCTAGTCAACCTCACTTTTTTCCATCCTCTTATTCTTAGATCAAAGATTCTATCCAAATCTCAAAATCTTTGAAAATTCTCCTACTGAATTATATTAATGCAGTTCCTGATATTTACAGGGTACTTTTAACTACCCCAAATATTTTTGAATAGGTTCTCATTTTATCCTCCCAACCACGGAGGAGATGGCATTATCCTCATTTCACAGGTGCAGACCGTTTCTCCACAGAAATCAATGTCTGATTTAAGGTTAAGCAATCTCTAACAGGAACCAACACCCAAATCTTCTGGCTTCTAATTCTGTGTTGTTTTCACCAATTCAGCACTTGTTTTTTCCTTTTTTGTGGTGCTTGGGATGGAACCCAAGGGCCTCACACGTGCTAGGCAAGCACTCTACCACTGGGCCACCACCCAAGCCTCAACACTCATGTTGATTAGCAGCAAATATGTCTTTGAGTTTCTGCTACCATCCAGAAAACACTCAAATGTACGTTTCCTTGAGGTCCAGCAAATACCCAACTTCCTTATCTGACATCTCCACTCAGTGGATAGACACCTCTCAACCAGTACGTACAAACAGAACTCTGGATTTTAAACTCCAAAGATGTTTCTTCTTCAGTAAGCCCCATTTTTCCATCAGTTACTAAACTCTGAATCTAGGCATCACTTATTTTTTCCCTCACTTTCATACCCAGCCCACAGTCTGCAGAACCATTCACTACTCTATTCGGACTATTAACTGTTCAGTCACTGTTCCCTGAACTCTTGCCTTCTTGTTTTAGAACTGGGTTCTGAGTTGGCTTGCCTTGGGAGTCCCTGAGTATTAGCTGCAGACATCTTTTTCTTCACTGACAGCTGTCAGCAAAGTCCTCTGAATGCTCACAACTCTAATTTAGGTGTCATCTTAAGCCTTAGTAGACTTTTAAGGAAGGAAAATAAAAGTTATTTGCTAGCCCAGTGCAGAGGCAATAATACTGGTGGTAGGTGAAAAGGCCTCTCAAAATCCCTTTGGTATCATGGACCGATTCTGCCAAAAGCAAGGAAAAGCTCAGACATGGAGGAAAATGCAATGCTACAGAGAAAACACCACTGTCACCACCATCAACAATGAGCATCATCAGATCATGTTTCTTGTTACTAACTCTTGGCTATCTATGATTGCTGACTGGCTTAAGATGCTGCTTGATGACCAAGGCTTCTAGTCAGTCACACAATGTCCACCACAAAGTCAGTCAGCAGGATTCCAGCACAGTCCCAAGACTGTGTTGTTTCCAAAACTATAGTTTCACTGTGCTGCCCTTAAGAAGCCTGAGCAGTCACTAACCCCAGATATGGAGACTTGGCAAGACCACAGAACCATCTGGGGTGTGTAGCAGGAAACACTACAGGCTAAAGGTAAAAGATCTTTTTGCCATATGTTTTCAGAATGGGAACTAAAAATGATATTATAGAATATCTAATAAATGGTAGGTATTGGGGGCTGAGGCTGTAGCTCAGTGGTAAAGCGCTTGCTTTGCACGCGTGAGGCACTGAGTTCAATCCTCAGCACCACATAAAAATAAAGATAATGTGTGTTCAACTACAACTAGAAAATATATATATGTAAAATATTAAAAAAATAAATAAATGGTAGGTATTATAATTAAGGTGGAAGCTCCGTAAGAGAGAACAAAAAAGATGAAACGAATGAATAGGACACTCTAAGAAGAGATCATGCTCCAGTTAAAAATTGGGAGCTAGATATAAACATACCCATGGGCAACCCCAAAGGAATAATAAGGCCCAGATGACCTACAGGATTCTTTCTAACTCTTTACTGTCCATTAGAACTCAATCAACTCCTGATTTTTGTACCAAGGAAGTAAAACAAATCATCTCTAAATAACAAGTACTCGATTCAGAATACACTGTGTAATCTATTTTTAAAAACTGCAGCTTATTGCATTTGGGAGGCCAAAGTAGGAGGGTTGCAAGCTGTAGGCCAACTTCAGCAACTTAGCAAGACCCTGTCTTGAAATATAAAATAAAAAGGCTGGGGATGTAATTCCATGGTAAAATCCCCTGGGTTCAATCCCTAGTACCAAAATAAATAAATAAATCTGCAATCTTATGAATAATATAATAAATTAAATGTGACTTAAGCTAACATTAAAATAAATTTGGCACAGATCAACTAATAGCAGAAACTGGATGATGGCCCAGAAATTGGATGGAAAGGGGAACCAGCATAGGATTAAAAATTTCCCATAAATAATCCCCACATGGATAAGTAAGAGCTGACGGTGCAGTAAATTTCAGTGCTTAATGCACTAAAGAGCTGCCCTATTTTGTGGTGGTTGTTACTTGAGGTGAAAGGGGAAGTTATTTGCTAGAACAATGCAATGCAGGAATCAATGTGAGAAATGGAATGAGGGAAAAAAAAACCCACAGAAGTTCTTGGCTCAGGCTGCTGAAACCAACCCACTGTCCCATTCTGTCACCATGGTTGGTTTCCTGCCAATAGCTCCTAAATGACGTCTTCAAAGTTCTGTAGAAAGAGGAAACAGCTGAGGGATCACAACAGTGAGCAGAAGTGCTGGTGTCATGGCATATGTGGAAGCATTTGTCTTCCAATTAACTATTACTTTCTTGTCAACTTGTCAACTCCAGTACCAGAAAAAGATGTTCTATAGGCAAAACATGCTCAAATCATCATATCAAGACACAGCACTCCACCTTACCAGATTTCCTACAGCCAAGACGTGCTCAAACTGTGGCGTCATAGGATGGTGCTCCATTGCCATAAAGAGCGTATTTAGAACAATGCAGATGGTGATGGCTAAGTCCACAAAAGGGTCCATAACAATCAAGTTCACAATCTCTTTGAGCTTTATCCAGTAGGGGTGGCACTCCCAGATGAGAAAAGTATTGGCAAATTTATACCAGCATGGTGGACACTTTCTCTGAGACTCTTCCAGCTCTGCAGTAAGAAAAAAAAAAGGCCCCTTAATCAGAGTGAGAAAGCAAAGGGACAATATGATCTCTGAGGTCAGGTCGTTATTATTGTTATTATTATGAGAATAAAGAATATTTAAGTGTTGATATTCCTAAGTATTTCCCTCCATTCTTTCCCTTAAAGTAGAGAGGAGGCATGATCCATGCAAGTTACTTCCCTATCAACAATGATCCAGTTATAATTTATATAAGACCCAACATTCTAGTTACAGTGTAGACCACAGTAGTTAGGAGCTTAGCCTCTGGGGTCTGACTTCTTGGTTCAACTTGCTTCAACACTTACAAGTTGTGTGAACTCAGGCAAGGTAATTGATTTCTCTAGGCCTCAGTTGCCTTGTCTGTAAAACTGAGCATACACTTTTAGGTTCTGGGACTAACTGAGTTGTATAACTCATTTTAAGAGGTTACATGAGTAGGATTAAGGGTTAAAGGAGATGATGCATCTAAACCAGTCAGCACAGTGCCTGGCACAAGGCAGGTCCTCATTAAATGGTAGGGATTATATTATACATTGTAACAATAAGTTCTTATCAGAGAAGCACAGACCCTAAAGCCAGACACACCTAACTTTAATACTAGCTTAGACATCTGCTAAGTGTAGGACCTTGAGTATGTTGCTTCAATTTGTTGTGAGAATTAAAGGAGTTAAGATATCCACAAAGTGCCTAAGAACACATAGCACAGAGTAAGTTCAATGGAAGCCTTTGCTCTTATTATTATCTTCATCAACAGGATCAGCATTGTCAGCTAGCCACCATGTGGAGTATATCTATTATGTTCTCAAAGAAGCACATACAAGTCACTGCTCCTACCTTCAGTGAGTTTGTAATTCACAGCTGAGTTAGAAATATAATTCATATCCTTAATCCCTTCTTTCCTTTTTCTTTCTCCTTCTCTCTTGCCCTTTCCTACTCTCATCTTTTCCTTCTGTCGTTGTAGTTTTTCTCTTCCCCCCTTTTTTTTTTTTCCAAATAAGATCTCATAAGCCAAGAACTGCTGGAGTTATAGCAGGATAGGAGCCTGGAGCCCAGTATAGTTGACTTCTTCCTTTCCTGAGACACCTCTCCAGAATCCTAGGTTCTCCTCATACAGATGGAGAAGCTGCTGGACTAGATGGTCTCCATGGTTATTTATGAAGCAAAAGATTAAAAAGAACAAAGGTAGAGAGTCACTCAGCTGGTAGTCACACAGCATAGGTATGAAGACCTAGGTACTAAAGTTCTCCATGGATTAAGTATGAACTGTGTAATACTTGGATTACAAAACCCCAAGGTCCTTGACCTAAGAGGATGCTTTTTAAAAGAGAAAACCTATTAGAATGATAATTCTTAGAAAGAAGGTATTGTTTCTAAAGGATTGGCTATTACAGCTTCCTCCACCCTGCCTAATCCTACTGACAAAATAAAACTCATTGTGGTAATTAAAAAAGAGCTCTCTAACATTGCCCCCCAAAACAAGATGGCAGCCATAAATCAGTCTCCTTTCCCTTTCTCCAACCAGCTGGATGGTGCCCATGGTGATGGCTTTATTTTAGATGGGGTGTTAGTTGGGTGTCTGATTGGCTCCCTGGTTGCTAAGAAAATGGTTGCCTTGGTTTTTCAGATTTAAGGGCCACAGTAAGCGCCACGTGGGAGTTTGCGTGGGAAAGGAAGTCTGTGAAGAAAATTTGCTTTGGCTTCTTCCTCATAGAACTCCCTCCCTTCCCAAGGTAAATTTAGTTTTCTTCCCCAAAAAAGAAAATGAAAAGGTTCTCTTATTTCCATAAATTCTTATAGTACATATTTGGAAATTTGGTTCCGTTTCTTTTTAAATTTCCTCCTTCTCCAAATGTCTGTAGCCCGCCAGCACCTGGAGGTTGAAGCCTGACTGTTCACATTTCTGACAGATGACACAGTGCCATGTTTTACAATGTACTAGGCCGAAAGTCCTTTGAAATAGCAAGAGGGTTTTCCTACCCTACCGGGCACCAAGAAGATCCCTACCGGGATATTAAAAATCTCTTATCCACATTAACTGAGAAGAGGAAATCTTCAGGATAATCTTTTATCCCACAGAAACAATGTGGGGTTTAGGAGCTAGAAAAGATTACTAGGTGAATAGGGAGGTTTATAAAATGACCTACAACTTTGCAAATTGTTACTGGCTCCACTGTCTGGATGGTGAACTATCTGGTCTGGAAGAATGGGTTAATAGAAGGGTTAATAGAAGGGAGTTAGGTGTCCAAAGGTCTGTGGGTTTCCCCTATTTTTTTTTTTAATATTTTTTCCCTTAGTTGTTGATAGATCTTCTTTTTTTTTTTAATATTTACTTTTTAGCTTTAGGTGGACACAATATCTTTATTTTATTTTTATGTGGTGCTGCGAATCGAACCCAGTGCCTCACACATGCAAGGCAAGTGTGCTACTGCTGAGCCACAGTCCCAGCCCTCTACTTTGTTTTTTGACATTTTCAGAGAGTTTACTGCAGGTCTCAGCCTGGGGGTACTGGGAATGGTTTTCTGAGAGAGCCTAAGTCCACAAAGACTAAGAGGTTTCTGAAGACAGGGTTTCTCTTAATTCAACAACTTTTTTTTGATATTGAGGGTGGTTTACCACTGAGCTACATCCCCAGCCCTTTTAATTTACTTATTTTTTTAAAAAAATTTGAGATAGGATCTTACCAAGTAGTTTAGGGTCTTGCTAAATTGCTAAAGCTAGTCTTGAACTTGCAATCCTCCTGACTCATCCTCCTGAGTCACTGGGATTATAGGCTTGTGCCACTGTGCATGGCTCAATTCAGTAACTCTTAAGCACTTGCAATGTGCTCTGCACTAGGGGTATAGTGATGAAAAGTCCCACCCTCACAGAGCTTTCAGACCTGCAGAAAAGTCAGATATCAAACAAGTAACCGCACTGACCCTCAGTGCTTATCAGATGAGTTAAAGAATGAGTAAATAAACAACGGCAGCAACAGTTACAGCCAGTCACTTCTAGGAAGTGTCTGAAACAGTTTACCTGAGAGTAATGCCAAGTCCCATCATTAATTCCTCACTCTTACTTCCCTAGCTACCTTCCACAGCTTTGCTGCTTTGAGAAGTCAGACTACACTATTCTTTGTTTATACCCCACTCCCAGACTTCTGAAATATCCCCCTCTGAAATTTATGGCTCTGCTAGTTATGAATCCTGCTGAGTTTACTTGATCCTAGGGAGTATGTCTGCAATAGGATGGGCTGAGATAGGCAGAGTTTTCTAACTGATTACAGGATTCTAGAATTCTTCACTGTAGTTTCTAGGTAGGTAGGAACCTACTTTTTTGGTTTCAAAAAAATAATTATTTTAGGGCTGAGGCTGTGGCTCAGTGGTAGTGCACTTGCCTAGTATGTGTGAGGTACTGGGTTTGATCCTCAGCAGCACCACATATAAATAAATAAAATAAAGATCCATCAACAACTAAAAAAATATATAAAAATAATTATTTTAATCTTTGTATTAAAATAACATCAGTTTCCTAACTGAAAGTCTGGGAAGCAGGAATAATTATTCATTCATTGCTGGCTGTTAATGTAGCAACCATTAAATATGGAGGATTGGGCTGGGGATGTGGCTCAAGCAGTAGTGCGCTCGCCTGGCATGCATGCGGCCTGGGTTCGATCCTCAGCACCACATACAAATAAAGATGTTGTGTCTGCCGAAAACTAAAAAAATAAATATTAAAAAATTCTCTCTCTCTCTCTCTAAAAAAAATATGGAGGATTTGTCAGAATGGTTAAATAGTAATAGATCCTTTTCTTTTCTTTTTCACCCATCTTGCTATTTTGCCCAGGCTAGTCTCAAACTTGGGACTCAGCGATCCTCCTGCTTCCAAGTAGCTGGGACCACTCCAGAATAGTCTGAACATATAATGAGTCAAATGACGATATAGGCAGAATCAATGGGAATATTGCAAAGAAAAACCCAGTCACCGACTTTACCTCTAAGAGGAGCCTGGAATGTACACCAGGCCTGGAGAAAGGGCTGATACTTGCCAGGGGCCCCATGGTCTAAGGGAAAATCCTCAGCTAATCCTCAATCTGTCACGTGTCTGGAGATAACCACCTCAAATAGAGAGTTTGGCACTGACAACAACATCGCTGCAGATGTGCTATGATTCAATAGTGGCTGCTCTTTCCCTGTGGCAGAGTGCCTAAAGTAGAGGGGGTTCAACTTACCTAGTCACACGTCAAATGTATTTATGGATATGTGGGGGTGTTTGAAGAGAGGCAGAATTAGGTGCAATCAAAATGCAGAGTACATTCTTCCCTCAAGAAAACCCAAAAGGGATCTAAGTAATTAAAAGGAAGAGAAAAAGGTGTGGTTTGGGGTAGAGGCCATTAAAAGGAAGAGAAAAAGGTGTGGTTTGGGGTAGAGGCCATGAAGGGGATTCCATCATGTATCTTTTCAGTGCTTGACCCACATTCCCTGATGTCTCACAACACCCCACAGGCTCCTCATGATGCCGATTACTGAGGCTTCCTGAGATTTTCTGGTTCATTCTCTGTTGCTCCTTCAGCCTTTTTACCTGTCTATATACGATGTTGACAGATTTGAAGTACTTGTTTGATTCTCTGCACATCAATTTGTGAAGAGAATTTGTGATACTGTTTTCTACAACCAGTAAGATCTATTCCTAAAACTTGGAGATAGTTTTTGAAAAACTCAGATCAAGGGACAGGGATTATATTTATCATGCACACTACATACTTATATCTCAGCAGCATCACAGGGCACATACCTTCTACTAGTGTATTTGTAACAACACTCATTATACTGTTGATTCTGTCCTTCCGTCCATAGGAGGCCAGTTGGTCCATGGACACTAAAAGAGATCCAGGGCCTTTTTTCTTAATTTCCACCTCAGTTGTTGCCTATAAAAAGATAGCAATAGGGTAAGAAAGATCTGATAAATGTAAGGCTGGGCCTTATTGGATAGATGGTCCAGAGTATGAGCAAGAACATATAATCTTCATTACTTCTTAAATTTATTTTCTAACACCAATTCAGCAATCTAGTCACTTCAAGAATGAAATAAGTTGGCTACAGTTCATCCTTAGTTGTCTAGATAAGACCAAGTCACTTAAGTTATGCAAATCTACAATGAATCTAAGAATCTGGCTGGGACCCAAATACCTCACTTGGTTAATTCCAACCACAGAGTAGAAAGACCAAACCCCCCAGGGAACTACCACTAGGAGTGGACCCTGAGTTTTCTTGTCTAATCTTACATCCATGGCATTTGGCTAGAACTGGTTCACATGATAAAATAAGTCAAATTCACTTTTACCTGAAATTTCACTGAGGCTAAGTTCCTGATCACACTGAAAATTATGGATATTGTTTCTTCCCTGGGTAGGAGCACCATTACTCTTAACAAATCATCCCTTTCAGAGATCAAATAAGCATTAGCCTAACTAAACATTAGCAAATTGAAGTTATACTTCAAATCTCCTCTGAGCCACTGTAAGAAAAAAACATATGTATATATATATATATATATATATATATATATATATATATATGTGCGTTGTGTGTTTGTGCGTGCATGTGTGTATGTGTGTATTTTTTTCCTCTTTTTTTCCAATTTTGAGACAGGGACTTGCTAAGTTGCTCAGGCTGGCCTCAAATTTGTGGTCCTCCTGTCTCAGCCTCCTAAGTAGATGAGATTACTTACAGGCACGTCCACTATGCTTGGCCTTATTATAATGTTTACTTTGCCACATCACAATTTTATTTTATGAGTTAACGTGCAACATTCAAATTCCAAACCAAATAAAAGTGAAATAAAAATCATCAAATTGTTATAAAAATATTTGTTAGATGCTTTACCTTGGGCAATAATGGTATAATGGATTATAGGAAAGTTTTTCTTTCTTTTGGATACCAGGGGATTGAACCCAGGGGCACTTAACACTGAGCTATATCCCCATCACTTTTTATTTTTCATTTTGAGACAGGGTATTGCTAAGTTGTTCAGAGCCTCGCCAACTTGCTGAGGCTGGCCTTGAACTTTCAATCCTCCTGTCTCAGTCTCCCGAGACACTGAGATTATAGGTGTGTACCACTGTGCCTAGCCAGAAAGGGTTTCTTATTGTCCCTTATTTATGCTTTTGTGAATATTCTACACCAGATTAGCTTAACACTTAGCTGTCTAGTGACAGCTGTACCATGTCACCTATATGAAATTGTCTGCTCCTTCCACTGTGAAGGTAAGAGGACAATAAGAGGACAGAGACAGCCACCAGGGGAGAGACATGTTTGTTGAGGCCTCAGAAGTATATGTCTGTCAACCCCAGAATTACCCTAGCTGTTTTGAAAATAAAATAATTCTGGTGAGCTACATTATAGCTCTGTCCCTTATACATATTTAGATTTTAAGGACTGCACAAAAAAAAAAAAGTTCCTAGTAGATGACAAGATTTATCTTATTGAAGTGCTTCGTTACATTGTTTTACTGATCCAGACATTTGGTTCCCTCAGGGCCTTGTCTGTTTGGCAGAGCTATAGGAGAAATGGAAAGAAAAAATAACTGATTTCCTTGGGAATTCCCAGCTTCTTATTATACAAACATCTGTATATGTAAGAATGACTTTGTTGGCCTGGTGCGGTGGTGCCCGTCTGTAATCCCAGTGGCTCAGGAGGCTGAGGCAGGAGGATCGAAAGCTCAAAATCAGCCTCAGTAAAAGCGAGGGGCTAAGCAACTCAGTGAGACCCTGTCTCTAAATACAAAACAGGGCTGGGGATGTGGCTCAGTGGTCGAGTACTCCTGAGTTCAATCATGGTACCAAAAAAAAAAAAAAAAAAGGTGGGGGGCTGGGGATGTGGCTCAAGCGGTAGCGCGCTCGCCTGGCATGCGTGCGGCCCGGGTTCGATCCTCAGCACCACATACAAACAAAGATGTTGTGTCCGCCGAAAACTAAAAATAAATATTAAAAATTTCTCTCTCTCTCTTAAAAAAATATTAAAAAAAGGGACTTTGTTAATCATTGTCTCAAATCATAAGATAAACAACTTTTTTCCTTTATTTTTTTGTGATGCTGGAGACGGAACCCAGGGCCTCGCCTTGCACATTCAGTAAGCTAGTACTCTACCATTGAGCTACACATCCTGCCCCAGAAGATACATTTCCTAGAGAAGCCACTTTTGAAAGAAATTTCAGCCTGATATTCAAGACATTTAATAAATCGAATTCAATTACTACATTTAAAAAATGATAGTCATCTAAAAATGAACACAGAAAGGCTCTAAACAATAGACTTTTTTTTTTTCTGGCATTGTACTGATTCTAGATTTTTACTGAACTACCCTTTTGTAAATCTGTTACATGGTAGATAATTTTCACAATGCTGACCTCCACAGTGTTATAAGATCTGCCAAAACAGTTGACTCATCAAGGAATATGAAGTTGCTTTTATATGGTTTTTGTACTAAGCATATCTTACGGGTTTTCTGGGCTGGCTGGCTGGCTATAACAAGATATAAATTCTTAGGATTTATCATCATCAACCTCAAAAAACAAAATTCATGAAAACAGAGTCTAAAAGACCTATTTAAACATTAGATTATCATTTAATAGTCCTTACTGGAAAGCTAAAATAATCCTTACGCTTAATACTAAGACGGAACAACTATACAACTATTATGTATATATTTTGATGTTAAATGAAAATAAACTATAGCAGGGATACATGGAGATAACGTCTGCAACATTAAAATTTGCTTTGTAACTCCCTTATAGAATACATTTTAATTTTCAAAAAAGAAATAAGTAAAAGACACCAAGAAAAAAAAAGTTCAAAACCCATGCTTGGGTAATTTTATGGGTAAAAAATTCATATGTACTCTTTCTATAAAACAAGAGCATTTGGAATAGATTCAAATAACTGGTTCATCAAAGTCTTCTGGGAACAATAAGATATTTAGAAAAAGTCCCACAACAGATTTCTAAAAAATCCATGTTGCAAAGAAGAAATCACAAGGGAAATTAGAAAATATTTAAAATCAATGATAATGAAAACACAATACATTAAAATTTATGGGATGCAGCTAAAGTAAAGGCTAGAGGAAATTTTATCACTTTAAATACTCACATTTGAAAATTAAAAAAGGCATAAAAATCAATGCTCTAAACTTCTATTTTAAGAAAGCAGAAAAAATTAAATTAAATCTTAGTAAATAGATAAAAGGAAATAATGAAAACAGAAAATTAATGAAATAATAAATTGATAAATAATAGATAATAAAAAAGTAAAATATTGGTTTTTTGAAAAGATTAATAAAATCATAATTCCTATAGCAAGACTGGCCAATAAAAACAGAAAGAAACACACATTATCATTTTCAGAAAGGAAGAAAGGATATCAGTATAAATCCTACAGATATTTAGCTTTGTGCCACTTCATCTTAAGTGAAATGGTCAAACTAGTCAAAATATAACTATCAAAACTGATACAAGAAGAAATAGAAAATCTTCATAGCCCATTAATAATTTAAAAACCTTACTACAAAGAAACCTCCAGCCCTAGAGGGCTCTACAAGTGATTTCTATGAAACATTTGTAAGAAATAATACTAACCTTACACAAATTCATTCAGAAAACAGAGGATAAGGATATTCACTTGCTTAATAAAGTGAACATAATCCTGATATCAAACCTGACAAAAACAGCACAAGAAACTGTTCTCATAAACAGAGGTTTAAAATCCTTAGCAAAATATGAGTAAACAAAATCCTGCAATATACACAAAGGATAATACATGATAATCACAAACAATTTACCCCAGGAAAGCAAGGTTAGTTTAGAGCCAGAAAAAAAGTCAATGTCATGCATCACAATGACAGAATAAAAAAGAAAATGAATTTGATCACCTCATAAACACAAATGAACAGCACTGAACAAAATTCAATACCACTGCATAAAATTTCTCAGCAAGCCACAAATAGCACATAGTAGTTTCAATCTGATAAAAGATATCTATGAAAACCTATAGCCAACCAATAGCCAATGCTCATGGTAAAACATTAAATCTCTTCTCCTTAATATTGGAAATAAAGAAGATATCTGCTTTCATCAATTGTATTCAATTTTGTATCTAATATCACAATGAACGAAATAAAGCAAAAATAAATAAAAACAATTATTTAAGTTGTTATCCACAGGAAATATTACTGTGTATGTAGAAAACTATGCAGAATTTTCCTAAAATAAAAAACCTCTGAATTTAATAAGAATAAATAATAATAATTAAATAAATAATTAAATAAATTAAATAAATAATATTTAAATAAATAATAAATAAATAAATAAATAAATAAATAATATTTAATATTATAATTTACTAAGGTCACATGATGCAAGATTAATATACAAAAATCAACTGGTATTTCTATATTGTGGCAACAAACACTTGAAAAATCAAGTTTTTAAATTATACCTTTTGTGAAACAAGGAATAAATCCAATGAAAGATGTGCAAAACCTCCCATTATGAAACTAAGATTTTGTTGTGAGAACCTTGAGGACACCTAAATAAATGAAGAAATACACCACCATTCATAGATTTTTAAGACATTAGAATTAAGATGCCCACTCTCCCCAAATTGATCTACAAAATTCTAAGTTTTTTGATAGAAATTAAAATTCTAAAATGTATAAGCAATACTCCAAGGCTCTACAATAGAAAAATAATCTTTAAAATGATTTAGAATAGCAAAATTATTTCTTTTTTTAATATTTATTATTTTTTTAGTTGCAGTTGGACACAATACGTTTATTTCACTTATTTATTTTTATGTGGTGCTGAGGATCAAACCCAGTGCCCCGCACATGCCAGGCGAGCACACCACCACTTGAGCCACATCCCCAGCCCGCA